CCTGGGGAATTGTATCATTTCTGAGACACATGGGGGGTGGGGGATAGGGGAGTGGGGTTACATGAATTAAAAACACACTGCCAAATCCTGTGCTAGCATATATCAGCATTATACCAAAGTGCACCAGGTAAGGATGTGCCCCTCAAAGCCTAAAGGGAAATCCCGAGGCTCCCTGAAATCAGAGAGACACCGAGTGGTCGGCAGGAAAAATGACTCAAGCCAGGGCTTGGTCCTCAAGTATTGCTCTTCGGGGGCTCCCAGTGTTGCTGTCATTTATATAAATCAGGGGTAGCTAAATCAAAGTCATTGGAATTGCCTCACATTCATGGCACTGGTCCTGAGAATGCAGTTTTGTGTTGTCATCAATTTTAGGAAAATTAATTTAAGAAAAACAAAAAAAGATAAAAAGGAGCAGTACCCACAAAGGTGGCTGGGGTATATTTTGCACCCAAGCCCTTAGAGTGACAAGCGAGTGATTTCTGTAGGAGGGATGACAAACCCTTGCAAGGGACCTAACACAAGAAACATGAACCTGTGATTTTGGTGTCCGGTAGCGGTGATCCTGGCTTGCATTTGATAAAGCACAATTGTCTGAAACGGTTTTAGAATTCCCCCCTCATCACAGGTCGTCAGACCTGCCCCTTTTCTGCCAGTCCTTTGTCTCGGGAATCCCACACTGAAGCATCTGTTGCAGCGGAGACAATGAAACTCCCTCATATTGCCAGAATACAGGCCAGAAATCAGCACCAACCCTTTCCTATCGCTCAGCCAGTTTCTTATGTGAAAGCTAGCAAACACAGGAGCCATAAATGCTGTGTGTGGGTGTTCAATTACCTGAGATTCTCTGCAGATATTAGCGGGCGCTCTTGGGGAAGTCTCATTTATTATGCAGGATAAAATCACTATGGCACCAATCATATGATCTGAAGACTCAATCCTGAGGCAGCACTAGTGAAAGGGGAGGTGAAACTGCATAAGACATTTCAGACGGCATGAGGCTGCGAGCAGCACATGAACGGCAGGCAGTAGTGGATTGATTTGCTGTATTTCTGTGATCAGGAAACCACTTGCATTGTGAGGCTTTATTTCTAGGAAGGCTGGGTTTTGTCAAGATATGATATTTGTGAGACTATGAACAGCACCCATGATTTGAAAGTGGGGGCAGCAATTGCTGCAGAAGACTTCTGAGAAACCCATTTGATCATCATCTTAAATACCTCCTCAAGAGTGCATTTAACTACTAGGGCATTTGGCAGACTTGGGCAGGCAGGATGAAAAGAACGTGTGTTCCTGGGAAGGATTATATTGCGAGCAGAACAAACTAGAGGAGAACTTCATCTGCATTGCTGGCATTTGAGACGAATAAAATAGCAACAAAAGAAATATCCAGTTTTCAGGATTCCCCTTCTTCTCTGACGGGAGAGGATTGTCTGAGAAAACCACCAGCACAAACTCAGAGCAGTGCAGACTTGCAAGAACAGGCATGGTACAAAACGTGATTTTGGTGTTTTTCCGCAGGCGACTGAGCCAAAGACCTGCTGTGGAGGAGCTAGAAAGAAGAAATATACTTAAACGTGAGTATTTTCTATTGTTACATTTTCCTTATAGTATTTTATATGGTTTTGTAGAAACCACTGAGTACATTTCTATGGAGCATTCTTTTCTGTAAACAGATTCATACTTCCTGCCTGGTAATAAATGTTACAACTAAAGTTTTAATTTTGTATGGGCTCTGCGTTTCTGGTCTGGTGCAGGAATCATAATTTACACTTGGCTGAAGGCAACTTAGTGCAGAAAAAAGGACTGATTCACATCACTGTTTTCAAAGACCTGTGGTTGTGATCATTCTGCTATGGAAGTACAAGGAAGGAAGTTTAGCTCAGTTCAACAAGTGCTCACATTAGCATGTTACAGACTATCCCAGAACGTGGTGCAATTAAACTCTATCTGTCCCAGCATAAAATGCACAAATATCCTGGCAGAACAGTGATTTTCCTCGCAAGTCAGTTGGCCACATCAGGCCAGATCCTTTCTAATGATAATGGAATCTGAATGTAAGCCAGGAAGAGCCACCGGGAGATAAAACAGGGGCATCAAACTCTATGCCTAGTTGCCTCTGCTGCTAGGGACCTTGGCTGAACATCTTGCAAAGCAAAGCAATGTAAAGCTAAGCAAACATTTGAGTAATAGGGGTGTGAGAAGCGGGCCCTATTCGATTTGGATGCAGATTCAGCCTGAATCGGGGACAGTGATTTGATTTGTTGATTCGGATCACTGTCCCTGATTTGATTCGGCCAAATCCGAACCTGAAGATTTGATGCTGATTCAGAGAATCAGTGATTCGGCCATAGACACAGCTTTAAATGTTTTTTCTACATACCTCCAGGTAACAGGCACGGCTCATGATTGCTGCGATGCTGGGGCGCATGGAGCATCCCACAGGAGAGTGGGGGGGCCCTCCACGTGCTCGGCGGTGAACCCGGAAGTGGACTGGAAGTACTTCTGGTCCACCTCTGGGTCTGCCAGGGAGTGCACTGGGGTCCCCCCCTGTGCCTCCCCGGCTCGGCTATCAGCTGTAGGGGGACCCTGGGTGCCCCCCAGACCCAGGAGGCACCAGTGTCCGAGCCGGGAGGGTTTCTGGTCCATTTCCGGGTCTGCTGCTGAGCGCGCTGGGGACCCCCCCCATACTCCTGTGGGATGCTCCATGCACTCTAGCATCACAGCACTCATGAGCCCCTGCTACCTAGAGGTATGCAGAAAAAACATTTGAAGTTGTATTTGCGTCTGAATCTCCAAATCTGTCCGAATCTCCCCAAATCGATTTGGAGGGTTCCAATTCGATTTGGAGAGATTAAAGGGTCCTCTGATTCAATTTGGATTCAGAGATTTGGCCACCAAATTGGGCCGAATCTCTGCCGAATCAAATCAGGGACCAAAGCTTCGCACAACCCGAGTAACTAAGCCTTCCCTGTAAGAGGAGGGTGCTCAATGGGGAGGTGGGATCAGGCATGAGCATTTAGTGAGGGATGCCCTTGCTGACGGGAAGAGGGAATGCCCCAAACACTGTTTGTGTGACAAGTAGCAGCAGATTTGGAGAGGTGAGAAGGCATCTATTTTAAGGGAAAAGATCACAACTTCTGTTGCGATCCTGGTGCATTTGAACAGTGGAAATGTAACATGGCAGTAGTATGTGAGGAACAAGCATCTGCTTCTGGTTGAAAACAGAACAGGCCATGTTTCTCTTTTCCTAAAGCAGGGCTTTGCTTGGCTTTTAGCTCAGACAATTTGCTAGGAAACATTATCTTAATAATTTGCCTATTTCCAGCATAATTTCATGTCACAGAGCTGGGCCTGATGTTTCAATCCAGTGGTTTTCAAACTTCCTAAAGTCACAGACCCCTTTCCTATCACTTCTTGTGCTGTGGGGCCTCTACCCCTGCGTCCTCAGGCCACATGAGCTGACACGGGGCCAGGTGACCTGGCCTGCTCTGTCATTGCCCCCAATTTCTTGGTGGACTACCCGATGACATATCGCAGAGCCCCCAGGGTCCATCAAACAGTTTGAAAACCACTGTTCCAACCTGACGAGTTCTGCAGGTGTCTGACACAGGCCATTCAGCACTGAGCTGCGTCTTGCTCAACTTACACACAGGAAAATCCTTCCTGGGGATATTAATTATTTTGAACATTTTGCAGTTAGGAAGCATCTTTATAAAGTTGAATTATTTATGTCACATATTCTCCTGGGAAATTCTCCATATGCTGGGAAATAACAGCATAACCAGAGATGACAGTGATTACAGAATACACAGATTACAAAAGCACAAGCAGAGTTTGGGAAGACTTGGATTGCTGGGTGCTTTCTCTTCCTTGTCACTTTATCCTGACAAGTTTATCTGCTGCTACTCCTATTGAAGTCGATGGAGTTGTTGCTTCAGTGTGAACAGAAGAGGGGGGTCCATGGTCAGCTCAAAAATATTTTATGACTATACCTGGGACATGCCGAGTCGTTTCAAATTAGGCATACTGAGAGCACGCCCACACAAGCATTTATATATTTTCAAATCACAACCAACACATATACTTGTGACATATAAACAGAGGAAGCCATCTCATCTCAACCCCCGCCCTCAGAAGAGAAAGAATGAACCTAAGGTTTCTAAGACATATGGGGTCGGATTTTCCAGAGAGCCAAGCATTCAGCTTCTCCCACTGAAAAGCTGCTCCCTTTGGTTGGGTTTCCTGAATCAGAGATAAGGTCTTCTGAAAATCTGGTCCTTATCAGTTGTGTTTCCTTGTTGCTGTATGTTGGATGTAGCCTTACTGTAGGTTAAGCTGACTAAAAAGAAGTGTTACATTCATTTAATGAGCACAGAGTTGGAGATAAAGCAAAAAGGAAGGTAAAGAGAGTTAAAGACAGGTCCTAAATGCCAGGTAGGCTAGACTTAGGTCTTATTTGAGTGGCTACACAGGTGGACTAAATCCATTGTGTTCAGGGCAGTTACTCCAGATCTACACTGCTTCATCTGACATCAGAGGCTGTCCTCTTCTATTTTATTTCCCTTTCCCTTTGATAAAACATAGCTGCTTGGCACAGAACTAATGTCACCACAGGCTTGAGGGTGCATGCCAGGGAAGGTTAACAGTTTGCATGGAGTCAGTTTGAGAATCGGTGAACTTTCTCCTTGATCGTGGGGGTGCCAACACTGACTTCCCATTGGCTTGAATGATGGCAGGGCTGGACTTGATCTTGCAAAACCTTAGCCAAGGAAATACCCCGACTGAAATCATGAGCTGGAAGAGTTTGCAGGTCTGAGTCTGAAGGCAGTAATGGGTCATAGATATGCATAATACTGTTGATGGCAGTAATGCTACCCCAAAGGATGTTCTAAGGATTAATTAGTTCATGTTTGTACGAGCCTTTCAAGATGCAAAGCACCATGTAATTGCTGAACAGCTGCTATTATGCTATTTTAAAAGGGAGTTCATGGGATTAGGAGAGTTATGGCTCTTATCTCCCTCATGGACATGACTCTGGGATAAAAGAAGTACTTAAAAAAAAAGAACGCTTTCTTATAATCTCATTGATCTTTTAATTCCTGCAGCTTTAAATATAGTAAGAGTGCTAGTACAGCTCAGAGCAAGACAGCCAGCTACTGGGTGCTCACATTGAAGGGAAATCCCAGAAGGTCACAGAGACGTGAGAGCAGGATGTTGACATTCAGAGTCAAACAGGCAGCTCCTGTGGTATCAGACGGAAGCAGCTCTGCTGCATGACCTGACACAGCTGAATGTTTCAGTGCCACGCATAGCTTAGAGTCCCCTAAATAACTCACGTAGTGGAGGGATGCGAATGACACTTCTGCGTGGCACACTGTAATCGGGGGCCTCGCTCTATTGAGATTGATGGTGTTAAAGCCAACCATTTATTAATGAACAGAATTAAGCGCAGTCGGTGTGATGGTGTTGTGAAAACCTCCCTAACTTTTCTTCTGGAACATTTCCATTTGGTGATATCTCTGCTACCATTTTCTGCCTGCACGTGGAGACAGTGGACCAGGAATTCAGCTCTGCTTGCCTGACAAGTTGTGTTTCCTATTTCCACAATTGCTACAGCAGCATCTTTCAACAAAGTCTAGGCTGAGTTTCTCTGAATGTCAGGGCAGCAATAGGCAAGGATGCATGCTGAGCATTTCAAAACTACGAGAAACGCATCATCCCACCACCTCTGCATATGTGCATTTCCTCTTAGAAGACCAAGCTGTCCCCATGTAAAACCCATGGTGACCATATTCTGATGGGACATTAGCTTGACAAAAAGCTTGGTTTTTCAGAGGAAATAGTTAAGCACATGCCTCTGCAGAGATGCCACTGTTAATTGGCTTTAAAAAGATCCCCATGGTTGAATTTCAGAGTCATCTAAAGAATACAAAAATAGGGGGAAAAAAGTTCATTTCTCAAGATTGCCTTTTTAGGAACTTGTCTACAGTGCTGGTCTATTCTTGCAGTCACATGAAATCATCCTTGCGATTTAACGCTAAAAACATCCAACAGAATGTGCTTCTGCTTAAGTGACAAGATATAATTGCACTGAATTACAGGGAATCAAGGGAATCACTGAATGGTTAAATAGCTTTTCTCTGGGTCCCCAGCTTTGTTCAGGTTATGGGCTTTGAGTCTTAATTTAGTAACAGATAGGACTAGAAATAGAAAATCCATTAACTTGTATCCCAAGGCAAGGGATATATTTCACACAGTGTTACAGCAACTCCAGTCTATTTTTAGATCCAGTGTGTAGGAGTTATCACGGCTTGAATGTTAATAGTCACAACACACAAAAGCAGGCTGGCTTCGGTTGGAATCGAACATTACAAAAGAAAACCCTGGAGTATAAAGAGGCTGTATTGAACATGGCAGAGGAAAAAAAGAATGGGTTCAAGCTAAAGGTGACGGTTGTAGCAAGGGAACATGCAAAATACGTAGCCTGAGAATTGGCTCACAGAACGTGCTTTCCCTGAGCATGTTCAGTTCAATATTTCACCGTTTTGTAATACCTACATGACCGGACGGCGTTACGCTTTGTCATTAATCATTTTAAAATGCCCTCACTTTCTTGCTAAAACCAAAGAATCGGATTGGCTGGTTTACGTATATTAAAAGCTCATTGGAATTGGAGGTTAGGTCAGTGGAAAAGCTGACACGGGCACAAACGCACGTTCACCTTTGCTGCGGAGTAGCACCGCTCTCTGCCCAGACACCAGGCAGGTACACCAAGGACAGCCCTAGCAATGCAGAGGCTCTAAGGAATAGCAGCACATTTTTCTGTACTGTCATTTTTACTGCTTGGATATTTTACATGTCTCTGGTCTTCCTACATGAGGAAAGTTGTTTCTTTTTTTATATTTTCTGCAGAAAGAAATGATCAAACAGAACAGGAAGAAAGAAGGGAAATCAAGCAGAGATTGACAAGAAAGGTAAAATCTTACAAATGTTTTTATTCACTTCTTTGAACATTAATGCAAAGCTAGGAGTCTGGAGGGGAAATACGATTTCTGAATGTTATGTCAGCCAGCTGTGGGGGGATCACTGTGGAAAAGCTCATATTTGTCCACAATGGTATCTGCTGACCGAAATGGAAAATAACTGCAATAGATCAGGTCATTGTGGACAAATGCTGTGTCTTTAAGTGATGACGACGGTATGTGACACCCTAATGGAAAATGTATATGAAAACCAAAAATCAGCTAATCTGTGATCATTTGCCCACATACTGCATAATTTGCAACTATATTGCCAGGCAAGCAGTTCCTGCCTGCATCGGTAGCAGTGCGAATGCGGGAGTGAGCTGACTCCCTGCTGAGCAGCAGGTGTGTTCCTGCCTGCAGGCTCTTTGCAGACCTTTGAAGGCACTGGCAGGTTCTAGGTCTGATCTTGCCCCTGTTCAATTTGCAGGCATCGCTGCTGGGGTCAGTGCACATGTATGTATGCACAAAGACAAAATTTGGTAATGGGTCTGGGGACCGGAGCTCTGCCAGTAACTTTGGTAGAAGAATCCCTATGTTGTAATTCATTGTGACAACTTTAATCGCACTCTAAGAGCAGCTTTATGAAGTTCAGTGCTCCAGTATGTTCTTGCCAAACCTGTTGTCAAGCTATTGAACAGTACCCCTCAACCGCTTTTAACCCATCTTTACTGTCATAACACTAATACTGTGCAGGGTACCAGTAAATCCCTGTGGTGACAGCACAAGGAAAGTCAAGCTTACTGTGAACGTCCATCCATGTAAACGAGAGCAGATTCTGCTGCACATCCCATTCTTCCTGGGCATTACATACGAGTGGATTAAAAAGAATTTTTTTCAGAAGTTGGGGTTAATAGTTGTCTTGTATGTAATAAATGTAGCACCCAAATTAAGAACCAAAATGATTGTATACTTGTCTCCGTCCTACTTGGTTTGTATTGACGTCTTTACTCCACCCATTACTACAGCTCAATCAGAGACCGACAGTCGATGAACTAAGAGACAGAAAAATCTTAATTCGATTCAGTGATTATGTGGAAGTGGCAAAAGCACAAGACTATGATAGACGAGCAGATAAACCTTGGACAAGACTGTCAGCAGCAGATAAGGTATATATATAATGAAGCCAAGTGCGATCCTTTCATTTGTGGTGCGTCGGTGGTGCGCCAGGTTGTGTAAGCAATACTGTAATTAGTGGGTCTCGATACTCTGATTAATACTTACTGGAGAAAGTGTGTTCCCTTCAAGTGAAACCGAGTGCTTGGTGCCCTTCCTAAACCACATTCTTGCTTCTGAAGGTAACAGGGCTGCATACAATAGAGAGGAATTTGTTTCCTCTCTCTCAAGATCATTATTAGGAGTTAAACACAGAGACACACGAGATTCTTAAGGCAGGAATCGGTGGGATAGACTTAACTGAGCGCCCTGGTATATTTAGCATGCAGTGACTACCTTGACTACAGGCTGCAAAAATGCCTTTTTCATACTGTAAATGCTTTTAAAACCCTCAATGTCTTGAAAAAAGCCTGGTATGCAGAATATTGCATAATCTCTCCTGGGCTTGCTTGTGTCCCCCAGGACTTTACTATCTCTTACTCACAAAGTTACTCAGGACAAAACAGTGATTACAAACATTCACCCAAAGTTACTGTGTTACCTGTAAATTCCCAAGAAAAGCTTGATCCACAATTACTTTAGCCTTGAAAAGAGCTAGTCTAACTAGAGTACTCCTGTTTGCCCCATCATATGCCTGCCACATCCCATTCTTTATATCTGATTTACAGTATTAAATAACCTTGGATTTCATGCTTAAGCAAGAAAAGGGGTGAAGAAAGGTCTTGGTTTGCATCAGGCTAGACTCGTTGCTCAATAAGGAGGCTTTAAAGTTTTGGCTCGAGATTTGTCATAGGCAGGGAAAACAATTGGACTTGTTGAGATAATTACTGGGTAGAGTGGCAAATGTACGACTGGATTACTCAGTGCTTTATCCTGGAAATCGGATGTGTTTTCTTCACTCCCACACATGCTGGAGTGTTTCCCAATAAGAAAAGAAAATATATAGGAAAAGCATAAGTGACTTCAGAGGACTCAGGTAGGAAGAAAAACGTGTTTTTATTTGCTGTTTCCCCTTAGTTGAAGTGCTCTTGGCCATGTACTGTAGTGTTTGTAAAATGGGAAACATGCCTGAAGGTTGTTGAGATTTGCTGCACTTATTTTTCTGGAGAAACTCATTAAAAACATTACATAAACACTCATAAAAACTCATTACATATGTGCTTTATAACAGACCTCTTGCATAATAGGTACCTCCCTGCTCCCCACAGGATTCTGCAAAGCACGGAGCGCAGTTGGGAACTAAACGAGAATTTAAGCCAAAATCTGCCCTTCCATTTGTACACGCAGCCTGAAGCACCCCTCAGTGGACTTTGTGCCAAACTTAAACGTGGTGTGAGCGGTTGTATCTCTGTAGACATCAGTAACACTCACACCAGGGTGTAGTTCAGGTTGTTAAATTCTGAAGCACTGTCAATCCATAAAAAGAAATGTGATGCTGGGATTTTATCCTGGTGTCACAGTTCAAGCAATCCTTTGTCCTGCCTGATCATCTATTATGGTTCAAGTAAATGTATAGCTAAACCCTTATTCCTGCTTCCTTGTTTACTTGATCAACATGCATTCACGGCTCAAGGACTGAGGAAAATGTTTCATTACTTTCTCCTTGAAATTTTATTTCTTCCAATAAACCTCTGATTTGACACATGCTTGTATGTTAAATCCTCACAAGATTAGGCAGCTGAATTAGAAAATTCAACGTAGATAAGAATTTACGAGACCAACTTAATACATTCCAAGACCATCAATAGTTGTCATCTGGAGAAGTTGACTGACTCCATTTCCCAGTGCTGATTGTATGGGGTTATGTACCAAAAAGGAAACTTTTGCCCTTGCTTACAATGCTGTGGCCTCCCATGCTGAAAGGGCAGCAGAATCATGCCCAACATTTGCACGTTGTGACAACCCAGCTGCTGTCTGATTTTTACTTATAGAAATTCTCTAAATTTCAACTGGCCAGTTGCTGGCTGGGTAATGTCTGCGCCTGCTCCATAAATAAATCAGAGCCTCACTAAGTGTTGGGAAATGAGCCTTATGCTTTCAGGTTCCACCAAGACTGCCTATAAAGGGGTTACAATGGCAGCCTAACAGTGATGCCCTTGGTGGCAGCATGTGTCTGTGTCTCTGATGACAGTGACCAGTCAGCATGAAGGGAAATCACATAACTCAAATATTAGGTCTTGCTGGCTCCACTGCATATGGTCCATTACATACTTTGCAAGGAATTGCTGTTCTGCTCATTTTGTGTCCTGTTGAGGCCTATAAATAAAATTATTTGCTAATCGTGTTCAATTTTAAATTCCTAGGCAGCAATTCGTAAAGAGCTAAATGAATACAAAAGTAATGAAATGGAAGTACATGCATCAAGCAAGCATTTGACAAGGTCAGTTTCCCAGTTATTTATTTTCCATTACCTACGGGAATAGTCTTTTTGAGCTCTGAATCGACAGAATACTTTGCTCCCATGTGGGTCTAATAATGCTGAGAAAGCTTTACCATGGAACACAAAGCACTTCTTCTTCAGCTTGAATACTATTTTTAATGGTAGATTAGTGCCTGTTGAGGAGACCCCCAAATTTCCCCCAAACACTGCTCAAAATGAATTACTTGCACCTGTGACTTGAGGCCATGGCTAGAGATTACACACAAGAGGTTCTGGGGTGAGAAAACTGCATGTGGACTAAAGCAGACGAACTGTGAAGCTCTAGAGTTTGCACTGTAAACAGTGGGCATGTCTACACCTGTATTTACATGCACCTAAAATTAATATGCCGTTGCTTAAGGCACATTAACATGATTTAGACGTGCCTCTACATGTGGACGTGCTAACGTGTATTAAGGCGCATTAAATTTAGGCGCAAATAGCTAAATCGCATTAGTGCATGTGCAGACACGCTAATGCGCATTAATGCAGTGTCTATCCATTGATGCACGCTGCGTTAATGCACATTTAGCATGTCTACACATGCAGTAGTGCAGCTTAGCTATTCACGCATAAATTTGATACCTGCTTTTTGCAAGTGTCAGATTTAGGGTCACATAGCCTTAAATTGCCATTATTAAGGCTATGTGACACATGCCCTTAATACGCTTTAAAAATAGCAATTTTAGGCTACATCTGCTTAAAAGACGCATGTTTAGACGCACCCAGTGTTGAGCAAAAATAAGGAAATCCTTTCATTGCTAGTTGGTTTCTCTTTGGGTGCACATATTCCCAAACTTTTATAAATCCCATTCTCCAATCCTAGACACCAGGTTGGATATTTGTTAAGGTTCTTGGGATATTCCAAAACTAGAATTTATGCTACAAGGCTTCTGATAAAATGATATACAGAAAATTGAGAGGTGACAAATCAGGTCTGGAAGTGATAGATATTTTATCTAATTGAAACAAACTGGGGACTTTAATTAGGCAGATTAAAATGACACATTTTATAATCTGGCCAGAATCCCAGGGTTAAGTATTCCTCCTGCTTACGATTAGTGGCACTGTACAACAAACAGTTAGGGCTTTACATCTCATCCAGGAAAAGAAATGCACAAGGTGGTGGGCCAGCACAGACTCAGAGGTCTGAGTGCCCCCTTCCCGATCAGCTCGCTCTTCTACCTCAAGATGCTCCAAGTACCAGCTTGGCATAGCTGACAGGATCAGAGGATACACAGACCCCAACAAGCTAGCCACCGGTAGTTCAAAGCATAGGCGACTGGTAGGGGGTGCATGGAGGCGCACGTGTCCCCCTGATGGCCAATACCGATGCTGTTGGTAGAGCTGGTACCCCCCTGACAGGGTCGGCGGCTTCTGCGGGTGCCCCCCACCCAGATTCAGGAGGCACCAGTCACTCATGGTTCAAAGTTATGTAAAACTAAGTATGACTGTCAGTGACAGCAGTGTGGAGAAGCCCCCAAACAGAACGAGCACATTAAAACAATTTTTCATTATTTCCTGCTACAATGAAGTATTTAACATGATACACAATGCTACAAAGATGTTTTGCTTTTTTTTTTTACTCTAGATTTCACAGACCATAGAGATTTTCTTCTGAGAAGAATGTCTTTACTTTTTGATACTGCCGCTGAACACACATAAGGGAATGTAAAAAGGTCTTTCCCTGAAGTTCAGTTCATGACAACCTGATGTTTATGGGAAAGAAGGACTCTGCAGGTGAAGATTCTGCAGCACTTACATAACAAGAGGAGATACCAGAGGACGTACTTCACTCTTTGATGCCTAAAAAGTGACGGCCTGTGGGGTGGGAGGATCAGCTAAAAGATTGAAGTAAAACTACTTGAAGGAACCTACTGCTCTCCTTGAAACACTTGTTTTAAACTGTTTTGCAGCATATCTTGGAAAAGGAGATGTTGTGCATGTACAGGCTTTCCCATTCCAAGGCCGCCGACATAATGGACATGACACGCTGTCATTCAGTATTATGTTGACAAGACATTTGGAACTTCTCAAAATTCGTTTGTAAAATCCTTAAGTTCATGTTATACAAAATGATTTAATGTATTATAATTTCTTTCTTTTTTATATAATGTCTAACAAAAACACAGCTGCAGCATTTTTGATTCTTGTTAATTTTGTTCTTTAATTAAATGACTACTTATTGCAGGAAATGAGCACGGTGCTTTTAAAGTTCTTTTTTCAGGCTGGGCTACTAACAGAGGTGGACTGAGCCATCTCCTGTTGCTCCTTCACAGAAGTCCAGAGCAGGTTATTCATTGTACTGTGGTAACTGTACACAATGAATTCTCATTCACAGGAATGGGAATTATGAACGCATGCCATACATTGAGAGGATATACAATAGAAACCGTTGCTAGCTATAATGGATGCCATCAGCATCTGGACCTTTGCAGAAATGGGGCCCACAGCATAGCTAAGCACCTGCTAAAGAGTTCATCTTAATATCCACCTAGATTTAATTTTGCAGAATCTTTACATTTTGGTTACATATATGTAATTCTGAGTCCTTGCACCACCACAACAGCTTGATCCAAAGATCTGCACATTTAAATACGTAATTTTAGAATGCGTTGACCTCCTTAGGGGGTCAATACCATCACTATCTTTCAACATATTTTTGTAAGTATTAACGAACAATTTAATTGTCTGATTTTTGACAAAGAATATAATGATTGAGGATTCATGGGTAAGGAAGTAAAACCAGCAGACAAAGAAACACTTGTTGTCTAATTTGAGAGCAAAAAATTAATGAACTTTATGGTATGCCACAGAAGCTTCATGGGTTATACACAGATTTCGAGTTGTGGTAAACATTTTGGCATGTACCGTTCCACAAGGTCCATCTAGTGGAGATGACAAGCAAGCACATATATTTCGAAGAGAACCTGTGAGTGGACTTATCCCTTGCTCAGAACTTCTCTAACTAAGAGTCAACCAAAATTCTTTAGGCTATCTTGACACCCACAAACTATGTTTCAGAATTAACTGAATGACCTCCAAACAGTTTTCCTTTTTCTAGTTGGTGAAGCAGGTTGGTGGTGTGAGGACTTGGGTGGTATTGGACATGCCAGCCATAGAAATGTAGGTGCACTGGGAACTTGTCCCAATGTCCTTAGGTTCTGATGATTGTGAAGGGTAGGCAGGACCATGGAGTATCTCAGTGGCACCTAAATATTGGATTTACGTGCCAAAGGCCCTTTGTGGATTTAGTCCATGGTGGCTTTAGCCCAGTTTCCTTATGGAAAAAAATCCCCTTCATCTCTACCATAATCTGGCTATTTTTTTAACAGCCTCAGCAGAACAGCACAGAACTGAACAGGCACAAGAACCAAACTGCCTTTTAACTTGTTTAGGTGGCTGCTCCAGGTCAGGGGCAGAGATGTAGTTTGCTGGGGATGGGAAGCAGGGTGAGACAGAGCACAAAGGAGCGTGGGGAAATATAACTCCTGTGTTCTGCATTATAAACCTCACAGTTGAGTAGATACCCCTAGTGATGACTAACTGGCATGCCAAACCACACTTTAAATACAATAAAAAAAAGATGCCATTTAAGAGAGATTAGCTTGACAATTACCATGATTTAACATTTTTGAAAGAGACACTGGCTATCAAAATTATGGGCACTTGTCTGAAGAAGACCTTACTGAAAAAGTTAGAATTTATGGGCCAAATCTTTTACCGCCTATGTACGCCACTCCTTGTGGAAGTCAGCGAGTGAGATGACTGAGTAAACAATACAGACTTTAGCCCAACCTATAGAACAGACAAATATTAGTTGCAACAATTTTAATTTGTGCACAATTTTTTAAATAACAGATTGAACATTTTTTTAAATTGAAGCACTGATGAATCCATTGCACACTGCTACATTTAATCCAGGGGAAAAGTCAGCTCTAGGGTGAACTGCTCTTATTTTCACTCAGAATGTGCAAGTGATTTATAAAATCTCTAATTATACACACCTTATGTTAAACACAATAACCTCAGTGTTTGGACTCTGCGGAAAGAACGTCTCCAGTCAAACCACCATTAAGAAAAGAACACATCAATTGTATTCATTTTTAGCTGTCATTAACAGGAATATTCGGATACCAGAGGCTCAGTGTTACAAATGCACAGTCATATCCTCTAGGGTGCTGAGCCGCCTCAACTTGTGCTATTTGTGGGAGACAAAAGTACTTAGTACCTTTACAGGATCAGACCCATAGTTAATTAATTTGTATTTCTACTCGAAAGAAAAAAACTTAGCATGAGCAAGTCAATAAATACAGTTCAGTAGCAGTTATGAGGATAAGCACTTTAATTAAGATGATGTTTCTTGATGTGCTCACCAATGCAAAATTAATTGAAACTGGGTGAATTAAATAAAAAACAATTCAAAATCAGTACCAATTTTAGAACTTCCCACTTAGTATAAAGCAAGGACCATAAGCTAAAATACACAATCCTGTAATAAATCCAGTGAAGGTTCAGCAAACACAGTGACCCAATAATACATAGGTAGATCAGAGGAAAGGTCATTATAAAGTAATTATCCAAATAGTATAATCTCAGTGGGTGCTTGTACATGTGCCAGGATGCTGTTCTGACACACTGTAATTACAGTGTGTCAGAACAGACTCTATTAATCAAGTCGCTGGAGCGTGCTCCAGCCAGCCTTCATGCCTTGTGTATCAGCATCCCTGCACTTCAGAAAGGTGTACTATACATCTTACCTTAAAGCCAGTTGTTCACTGGAAAGAAGTTTTTATGAAAAACCACATTGTGAGGTTCCATGGTTACTGTGAGGAGTGACAATGGACAAATCAGAGATTTAGCAGTAGGCCATACTGTGGACTATGATTATGACAATAAGAAAGTGGAATATGATAAATGAGAAGGAAGACAGAGTCAGAATTTCAACTGGAAAGTGACAAAAACAGTTTTTGAAAAAGCAACACCATCCTTGACAGAAGAGCTTTCTGGGTTGGAAGGAATAAGAATCTAAATCAGAGTGAAGCATGTCTAACTTAAAAAAAATAAAAAAATAAAAGGAAGACGGTGTTTAGACTGACAATACAGTAATAGCATAACAACAGCAGGGGTCTAGGAATATGGTAATGAAAAAGATGGAACAAATGCTTGGGGTTAAAAAGCTGTAGAGTAGTAGAAGAAGCAGAGATAAGAACATAGGGTACCGCTTAAAGTAAAAGCTACATGTCAGAAAGGAGCAGCAATGTTAGGAATGAAAAGGGAAAGTAGGAAGGGCAAAAAAGTTGGAGGATGATGAGGTTATGACAAAGAGGAAATGTGTCATCGTGAAGGCAAAGGGATCAAAGTACGATATCTGAGATAAAGCTGAAGGAAAACAGACTGCAAAAAAAGAGCTACAGAAAAACTAAGAGTTAGCTCAGAGTTGGATATTTATTGACAAAATTCTTCAGAAGGAAGTGAGGACCTCTAAAGCAGGCTTATTTTATGAATGATTCCCTATATTAATAATTTTTTTGGCAATCTAGAAAATGTTTAACTTCATTTCCCTAAAAAGCTACTGACAGTACTACAGCCACAATATACAGTTTACCTGGGTTTTGTTTCAGAAAGAGAAGAATTAGAAGATCCATTTGTTGCAAGACTGTGGAAAGAAAGGGAATATGAAAATCTGGAGGTGAGAAGACTGGCTGCATGGCACAGAAGAGAACATCCTTGTTACTGAATAAATCCATAATCCATTAAGAAGTCTCTATAAAGACTTTTCCCCTAAGGTTTCTAGCACATGTGGCAATACAATATAACTGAAATGCAAAGGAAAGCTATCTGTCTACACATACAGGAAATGTCAGCACGGCAACAGATTTTGTGTTATTAAGTAAAAAATAGTCTTAAACTTGTACTGCGATGTATACACCTTTTGTTAATGCCTGTTTTGTGAAGATGAAAGAAAAGACCCAAAAGTGTGCGTCATGGAAAGTTTAATATATATTTGCAAAATAAGGTAAAAACATGCACATTTTACAAATGATTTTAGTCTACAACAAACTTCTACTGAAAGCTAATAGCAGGGTTAAATAGGATGCGACTTCCAGAAATGCCTTTCTGATCTCCTTTTAATGTGCTAAAATAATTTGCAGTCATATTCTGCACCTGACTGGACACAATGCACTACAGGGAGTCATGACATAAACATGACCTTTTCATGTCAATTGGGAATGGCCACTTTTCTACATCCATGAATAAATACATCTTTTAAAAATGATCCTTTATTATTAAACATCCCTTGCATCTTATGTGGAGATCCTTTAAAAATAGCACTTCTTTAAAAATCCAAATTTACATATTACATCTTACTATGGTAATCAAAAGAAACCTCAAATGCTTGTGACAGAATAGAGTTTATCTACATAAAATTACAATCTTTAAAGAAAAAAAGAGATTTCATAGCAGTGGTTTGCTTTCGCTGAATATGATTGTCAAACTTCACATTACTGAGAACTAATCTGAATATAACAATATATTGTTAAAGTATTTAAATTTGACATTAGAATTTTCTTCCTTCTGACAAAAACAGGGTCTGCAATCCTCTGCGAACATTAAATAGCTCCTCTTCTTGCTGCGGTAGAAACATATTATATTATATTTATCAATACTTTAAAGAAAACTTTAAAAAAAGTATCACAGTATCCAGATCCAAATCTCACAACATGTATGCATTGCTTTTCCTATTTGTTCTCATATGAGCCATAATAAAACTCATGTGGGAGTCACTACATCAGCAGAGAACTATAGGAATATATTTATTTACATCATTTAATGAATTCTAAGTAAAAATTAATAAAAGCATATGGTTTAAGATATTTTAATATGTGTAATTATTTTCATTTTATTTCAAACAAACAATAACAGCTTCAACTTAAGAAGTCAATGTGCAAACAGTTAAGTTCCTTTAGTAAAATGCAAAGAGTAAATAATTAGCAATCAGTACAAAATAGCTTAATTTACCATTTCCTTAAGGAGCTTCTCTTGAAGACCTTTCATGTCTTCTTTCATTAGATGCATCTATAAAAATATATAGGTATCTATACCATTTGTTTATTTTTCCATCAAGACTGACAGCAAATCTTCAGAGACATTTATGTATTTGATTTTAGTTTAAGATCAGACTTATCACTGATAGACATGTTAATGGTAAAATAAGAGTGCCTGAGGTACAAGAAAAGTTGTCCACTTTCTACAGCACAAGCAATTCTGTTATTTATTTTAGATATAAAATAGAAGTATTAAGATATAACATCTATACCTTAATATATATATGTTAAGGAGTACTTGTGACATTGAAAATTTATCAAAAGTATCTAGGGACCTTAATAGTACAGAGGAGGTAAAGACTTTTCCTATAAGGAATATCTATATCAGGAACTCAATACCAACATCTGGTGATAGAAAAAATAAGTAAGAAAACAAAAACCAGAAGAACAGGGAAACTGTCATACCTCAGAAGTTAAGATATTTTCCTCATACTCAACACTTTGGTAGATATTCTTCTCAAATGAAGTTTTAAGAATCTGAATCCTAATAAAGTAAGAGGTGAATTAAACATCTCAGCTAAACATGAAGAGTCCACACCACTCATAAATACATCCTTTTTCTAAATTCTCATGTGGTACTTAATAAGCATTCTTATTCCTGTTGTTATTGTAATATCCCAGTGGAATCAGGACAAAAACCCAGGAGGATAACCAAAATGCTAGCACATTTCAGGTATACAGAACTCTTCATCCACTGATTTCACTATTTACACAGATGAGCAAGACTTTTGTCCCTGTTTTATTTGGCCCAAAGCACACTGTAAGCAAATAGTAAAGTGATGGATCAAATCCAAGTCTCATACCAACAAAAATAAAATCTACTAACCTCTGTTGCTCATTTCTCCTGTACACACTAAAAGTATTTGCCTGCTTTTTCCAAAAACTCTAAAAAGAAACATAAAAACGTAACTGAACAACTAAGAAATTAGTTAACACAATGCAGGTTTATTTTTAATAGTAAAATTCAGTGTCAAAATAAGCTAGAATGACAGATTTAGAAGGGGCAGGCATTCTACCATAGCCCATGTGACAGAGTCATAGAGAAGCAGGGCCGGAAGGGACCTTGAGGTATTATTTAGTCAAAACCTCTGCCTGAGGCAGAATCATCCCTATGCAATGATCTAGCTGGTCCTGATTTGAACAAGGTGTTGGACTAGATGACCTGAGGTTCCTTCCAATCATAGTTTTCAATGATTCTAAACCAACCTATCCAAATCTACTGTCTAACCTCTTAGCAATACTGCAGTCAACCCTGATACAACACAAGACAACACCCTAGATTATCCACAGGTGTTTAAAAAAAATTAAGGCTCAGTGGGGCAAGATCCGATATTTAAAGAGCTCATTCTAACTCAAGCTGCAAATTTAACATTTACTTTCCAGAAATTAAAGTGTCACACATCTTTTCTACAATAATCAGACACCGCAAATATTTAAGTGTGGTTAGAATGAGACCAAACTGGTTTTCTTGTTAGCTTTAAACTCAATTTAAAAACTTGCCTCTGGAGTAAAGACCTAGTTCATTAATCCACTCCATGTTAAGAATGGGAAGGCCAAAACATGAAATTTAAATTAAATCTCTTAGCTGACCCACCAAGCCCAATAGGTTAATGTGCCATTTTGATACTAGGCAAAAATTCAGGTCTGAGTTAAATGAAGACTACTGAGGCCAGGTGACTTGCCTTAGGATACATCGCATCAATGCAAAGAAGCAGAAAATCTGTAATGGGGACTGAGAAATTCTAAGTGCATAGGGATGGCCAGGACCAAGAAGATTCAAGTCTAAGTATCTTAAATATAATTGTTAATTTCTTTTAATTTAAAGTTAAGTCCCAGGGAGATTCAGAGTTCATCTTCAGTTGTTTGGTTTTTTTAAGAGCTAGTTGCAAAACACACCTTTGAGCCAGAACTGATCTTCCACAATTAAAGGACAAAATGTCAATTCTTTTTAAAATAGCTTTTTAATGAAATTGTTTAAATACAAACCAAAAATTCTTTCTCCATATTTTTCAAAGAGTGGGAATCTTTTTCGAAACTCTCAAGCTCCTCCATGATAGCGACATGAAATTTGTCCAGCTGTTTGATCCTATCAAAACAGAAATAAACTATAAATAAAAAAAAACTTGTAAATACAAATATGTTTTGTAAAATAAGTAACCTGCTACAGACCTGTATTCATGCAGCTCGTAAGTCATTGTTGTCAAATGCTGCTGAGCAGTTTTTAATGACTGCTTGTTAAAATGGTCCATTCTTCTTGAGCGGCTCTAGAAGGATGTGTTTTAAGGTTACTTACAGTCTACTTATTTTCAAGTTAATTTTCACTTTAATGAGAAGTGAGAAAAAAATTATGAAATGCAAGCAGTTGTAATTAATTAGCAATGAGACTACAGGTTACAATGGACAAATGTTTTAATTTTGAATTCAAATATGCCGTGTGAAAAAACATGGAAACTGCACATGTAGGATACTTGTTTGTGAATGTAGTTACCTGTTTCGCAACTGCAAATGTATTTCTTTGGTTTAACAGTTATCCGTTTGAATCAACTTAGGTACTTCATTTTAATCAGTCTGGTTGACAGAATCCTACACTCTAAATATTTTACTGAATGAAAAAAAATAAGCTTATACCTCAGGAGATGGAACATAAAATCCATTTGACTGGCTGGCCTACAACCATATAGATAATTTACTTTCACCAAAAACTCAACTAATCTCCATGTGCTGTGCTGCAGCACCTAAAGGTTTAAACACAGTGAAGTGTACGCTGCTGCAGAAGGTTGAAAGCTCACCTGCGTAATGATCAATGCTTAGTCTGCTTACTTAGAAACACCCGCAACAGTTATCTTTTCTACTGAACTGATTACTGATTAATTAGCCTTCTGTAGTGCCAAAATCTGCAATCTGCCAGGTCTTATGAGACCTGAAAGACTGGATATATTCTGTTAAAAACCTTCATCCATCAACTCTTGAAATTTGGCACTTGGCAGGAAAATCTTACTTCACAGCATCAATGAACAGCACAGCTCTTGCTTATAAACTATCAAATTATGGAACACATACTTTGCTTTTGTCAGAGGCAGAGGTGGTAAGCAAAACTTACGTTTAAATTATATTTAACACTTTCCTTTGTAAGATCCTGTTTAAAATTTCCCCAAATTTCAATTGTTTGGGTTGAAATTTTCCATACAGACTGCCCAGCAAGAATTCTCCTCCCATTTTTGAGTGCAGTGTCAGGGAAAATGCATTTCTTAACACTGGCCAGCAACTTTAATTTGTAGTGCCCATATACTTTGGAGCAGACACTTGAGATTAGGCTAGGATGCTCACCCTGACGTTAGGGATAAACTATAGACTGCTGAACACTGCAGTTAGCACCTGCTCAGGTTAAATTTATTAGAGGCTGGCAGCTAAATTCTTCGAATACTTTGCCTCTACAGAAAGCCCAGGGCCAAGCAGATTCTTTTTCCTACAGCTGCATGTCAGGGCTGCTGAACCCAACAGTAGAGCAGGTAGACTGTCCTTTTTTTCCGATAATTCTCTTGCCTGTGGCCTAGGCTCTATAGAGAAAGAAGCAATCTGAGTCGACTAAAAAGGGGAGTGATAGGAGTCAGGGAATAAGTAGAAATGAAAAAAGAGAATACGGACAAGCTAAATAATATGAACTGGGGAGACAGAGGTATAGGCTGGAAGGAGATAGGTTATGGGAGAGACAGAGAAAGGTCTGTAAAATGTCAGAACATGCTCCCCTGCAGAATTAGGAGTGGAACTCAGGATTCTGCAGCTCAGCATTTCTCTGCTGTCAGTAAATATGTGTGTAAACCACTGGCAAAATGTGCCTGAGCCTCTTTTTCTGGCTGCATATTACCACTACACTCTTAGCGCATCTAATTAAATATATATATTATAATGAATATGGAAGTTATATGAAGTTTGCATAGGCAACCTTAACTGTAGCATTTCCAAACTCCTAACTTGGTGACCATTACATTCTTTTAATCTAGTCTTTCTACATATAATCTTATATAAGGCAGTTCTTCTAATGGTGTCTCTACCTAAACTAGAGTATCTATATATACACACATGTGAAAACTGGCTTACCTGAATTTTCCTAGTAAATTCTTTATGGAGCTTCTGATATATCCCTACACTTGAACACCCAGGTTCCCACGCCTCACCATCCGTAGTAAACAAGTCATTTATAGATACAGTAGATATGCTTTCAGTCACTGAAAAACATTAAAGATTAATCTGCCATGATTCAGAAGTCAGTATGCCACATTACAGAAGTAGGAATATAAAAAGGTATCTACCGATCCTGCTTTATTTTACTACCCCCTTTCTGCTTGTTTAATTTGGTATCTGTCTAGTTTTTAGACATGAAATATTTTTCATATTATTTATCAGAGATTATAAACCTTCAGTTGTTAAATATGGTACTTAGATATGCCTAATTTCTGGAACATCTCAATCGGTCTTTCAGGTATGCGTGTACTTAACACAAGGCCTTGTTCAGGGGCTTCAGATATTTAACTCTATTTTAAATATCAATAACATTACATCAACACTTGAAAAAACTGTACATGTAAAATGTTGGCCAGTTTAAGACTTCAAAAATTTGTCCCAAAACATGATATTAAAAAATTTGGCATGTCACTGAATGCTTAGATTTGCAAAACTAGACCCTAAAAATTGATGGATGTCTTGGGAGACAACATTTTATGTCAGAAGGATTTTAGTGGCACAAAGACTTCAGGATATGGCCCAAACATGCATGAATTTGCACAGTACATTAATACCAAAGGATATGAAAAATCTTTAAAATATACCAGTAAGCATAATCAACATTTTTTCCATTTGAGAGCTGTGACTGCATCTTGCATGAAATCTGCCCTCTGTTCTACAGTATAACAACAACATCTGTTAACTTCAGGTAGAAAATGAACAGATTCCTTGCCAGTCAGTAGGGCTGTGTGAAGCTTCAGTCACTGATTTGGCCCGATTCGGTGACCAAATCAGGAGACCCTTTGATCTCTCCAAATCCAATCGGAACCTTCCAAATCGATTGTGAAAGATACAATGATTTGGACATAGACACAGCTTTAAATGTTTTTTCTACATACCTCAAGGTACCAGGCAGCTTGTGAATGCTGAGATGGTGGGGTGGATGGAGCGTCCCATGGGAGTGCAGGGGCGGGTCCCCCGCATGCTCGGCGATGGACCCAGAAGTGGACCAGAAGCACTTCCAGTTCACTTCCAGGTCTGCCACAGAGCACGTGTGGGACCCTCCCCCCACCCAGGCGACTGGTGCCTCCTGGAGCTGGGGGGGCACCTAGGGTCCCCACATGGCCGATTGCTGAGCCAGGAGGGCGTGGGGAGGTGGAGGGGAGACCCCTGCGTGCTCGGCAGTGGACCCAGAAGTCGACTGGAAGTACTTCTGGTCCACTTCCGTGTCTGCTGACAAGCATGTACCCCTTCCCTCCCCACCGCAAGATGCTGCATCTGCCCCACTATTGCAGCATTCATGAGCCACGCCTGAGTACCTGGAGGTATGTAAAAAAAAAAAAATGTAAAGCTGTGTCTATGGCCAAATCGCTGATTCTGTGAATCAGCATTGAAACTTCAGATTTGGATTTGGCCGAATCGAATCAGGACAGGGAACCAGATCAATGAATTGAATCACTGTCCCTGATTTGGGCTGAATCTGAATCAAATACAGCCTGCTTTGCACACCCTTACCAGTTGGTGTGTTATCTGCAGCCCACTTTTTCCCTACACTGCAAAAGGAATGTGTCCTTGAAGACTGCATTAAGAGTTCACTTGGTAGAATCGAACAGGCAAAAAGTGCCATGAGCCAATGTTTGGAATGTACTCTTCTCTCACTTTAATTGTCTTTGAATCCTCCTGCTGAAGACCATGATCCAGCTCTCTTTCCTATTAATTTGGCCTTTTCTTCTTCAGGAGAGGTGAAAGAAGGTAAGAAGAAAAGAAAATGGAAAACATGGAAAAAACAGAACACATACAGAAAAGGAGAAGCAAGGTAGTTTCATTAACTGAAGTTGACAGAATTCAGGGGTAAAGACCTTCAATGATGTATCCCTAATGTTCTTTGGTATGAGACTCGTTAATAGTGCAGCCCCCTGTAAGAAAAGCTGTGTCCTTGGGCTTGATCACAAGCACTCCCAAAACTAACTCTACTTTTTTCAGTAAGATCTGCAGTTATTGTGCACACCTTTCTTGCCAGGTCACCAGTGCACTACTATACTGATGTGCATTGTGAAATCTTAAGTTTTTTGTTGTTTGTTTTCCTTCCGTTTAGTCCTCCTCTCTAAGTCCAGCCCTGACTCACACCAAGGAACTGGTTGTGTGAAAGCATACACACAGGAATGAGAGAGAGTTATTGATTTTTGATTCTACTGAATCAGAATTTTTGGTCTCCTTGCTTTGCAATAGAGCAGAAAACAGTCAGCGAGAACTTGTTCCTATTTTATTAATGGAAGAAACTGTCAGAAAACACTTATTCAACTCTTAACCTGATAATTTAAGTATACAAAATATAAATAGCCAACATTCAATTTGAGAAAATATTGGGTTTAAAGCTTTACTTCTGTGAAAATATTTTCACTGACCAGAAAAATTATGCTTTTTCACTCATCTGAAAGATAAGCAGCATACAGTATTTCTTGAATATTTACGTTACTAGGTAAGGAAAGAAAATGTTCCCGAGCATTTTCCATTGGTTTCTCAGACAAAAAAAAACCCAGCTGAGTTTGTTTTCTTACATATCTGCAATAAATTGAGCTTACGAAAGGATCCTGTGGATTTAATTTAGAGTTGCAATATGATCTTTATTAATATGTTTCTGGTTTGTACTTCTTGTATGATGATATTTAAAGGGCAACTTGAGCTCTTGCTAACCTCTACTACTGGCAATATCTTCATCTGCTTTGAATAATTTTTTAGGGAGTAACTTTATTTTTCTCTTTTGTTTTTCATCCTCTTCTTTCCTCATTTCCATCATTTCATCAGAATCACTTTCTATGTCATTGCAATACATTCGTTTGAGATTGGAATGTATGGAAGGTCCTGTAACCATGACAAAAATGCATTCTATTTTAAGTTACTTAGAAAGAGGCACAGAATAATTTATTTTCTGTATGATTTTGTGTGGAGCAATGAGAGTCTGACAGATTTTTCTAATCACCAAAAACAGTATATTCCCACATTCTGGCAGCATGCGCCTTTGCTCTACCACTTCCAGAATCATACTGGAATCTGAGTATTGCATTTGCAAATGGTCATGTGCTACCAGCAAACATTTATAACTATGCAAATAAGGGTCGTATAGCCCAATTGCTTTCATTGTCTTTATGCTTATATACCAATGATATTGCCATATAGACAACACCAAAGAAGCAGAAAAGTACATAGTGAGAACCTTCTGGAAAATGCCCATTAAAAGGTGCTCATGTCTCTACTGGGGATTATTTCTGCAGATCCTTTGCTCCTGTAAGACTAACAAGCAGCACAAACCTCTAGAGTAGGACTGGATATTTGATTAAATAAAGGCTGAGGGACTAGTTTCATATTATGAGCACCAGGGTTTAGCTCTTAAATGAAGTGGTAACAATGTACAGTGGATACCAGTCTCAAAAGTGTATGCTTGCTAGTCCTTCCAATCCCATTGGGGCAACATTGTTCCTTGCTAATAAATTAACATTCATATAATCTAGTCCTGGAATCCTGGGAGTGCTACCAAATCCCCCCATCTCCTTTTAGTTGAAGGTCAGCTATTAACTTGCCAACCTATGCAGGCAAAGGGATACTTAAACTCATTGTTAATTGGTCCTTCTACAGTATGAGTAAATAAGCATTACATCCAACAGGAATGCCTTGTCAATAACAAAGATATACTCATTTTAGGAAAGTAATTAATTGGGTACAAGTGAGAAAACAAATCAAGAAGTGGAGGTTGTGAAGAGTGAGGCCATATTTATGTATTTAAGAAAATATTTTCATTGCCTATTTACAATTATTAAGACAAATGCTTTTTCATAAATTAAACTTACATACCAGATTCATGTATGTGACCTACAGGTTCTTTATGCCATGACTGTTCTTTGTCTCCACTAGAAGTGGTTAACTGAGATGGAGATAAGGATTCCTAGAAGAAAAATAATCATTTTACCTGTAAGATAGGGAGCCTATTTAGATCTTCAACATCTTCAATTTCAAGAATTTCCATTTCAATTTTTTTAAAATAAGAAATATGAAAATATGAAGTAACAATAAATAAATTAGTTTGTGTATACAAGGTTTATACAAGTACCCTGGCTTATAGGGGAAAATTTTAATGCTTACTTACCAATATTTGTATTAGTAACTATACTAAGTAGTAGCATATTAAGGCTACAATGAATGATAAGAAAACACTTTCTATTCTAAAAACTTGCAAGCAGAAGCAAAATAATTTTTCCATCTGTGAAAATTGATTTTTATTTTATAAAAATATCAAGATCAAAAAACCAAAAGGAAAGAGATATTACATATTCTTCATGAAGATAGGAATTAAATGGTCTTGGTACAGAATTCTTTCCTAGCTGTCTCATTTCTAACTTAATTACATCCCAAACATTTTTAAGAAAGGAAAATAAAATTTGTAGGCACTATTACAGGTAAAGAATTGCCTCTAATGTTGATATCGTAAAGCAACAGATATGCATTATTTCCTAATGTCTTGATTACATGTAAAAATAAACAAAACATAGAAAGCCACAGCTTTTCAAAAGGGGTAGATGACAGATACCATACCTCTCTTTTACTTTGCACGATATTTTTGGTGAGATCTTTCATTTCTTCAATGGCGAGTTTGCCAGAAAGGTAATTTTCAACCTGGATTGCTTCATTAATATTGCTCAGTTCTACATCAGGTACAGAAACCTCTATGACTTTTCTACTTGTGACAGTTTTGTCTATGGTTACTGGAGTCAGGCTGGGCTGAACATTAATATATAATAAATCATTATTGAAAAAAGGCATTTCAGTTTAAACAATAAATAATTATATATCATATACACCTCTCTTCAGCAGTTTGTATTGGCTTGCTCTAGCATCTCCTTGTTCAGCATGCTAGCTGTTGTGAATCCCAGGCCTAGTTATCTATATCCATTGCACAGAAAAAACTTAAGCTCCTGACCTGGATTTGTAAGTTTCACTCTGGAGCCTAAAGTTCCTTTGTATATTTTGGGATTAAAACTCTTCATGACATCTTGCTATGCATATATTCAGAAGGCAGCTGAAGGCAGCCTTAAATTTTGTTTGGGACTTACACACGATGTTATTATTTATATCAGTAAGTTCTGATTAACTTCTCCAAAAAGTGAATGTTCTTAATTAGAGCAGCTTGGTTCACTGTTTGATTAAACAGGTCCCCTAATCAGGACACTGATTAAAAATGGACAACACAAGTGTATTAACTGTAAATCATAACTTTTATATTCTTACCAAAGAGACTGGACTTAATCCTGGTGAAAAACATTCACTTTCAAACATAGAGTTTCTCACAGTATTTTCAGGAGACTGGTTTAGAGATGTATGTTGATCATTCTTTTTTGTTGCATGCGGCATATTAATGGACATTAGTTTCACAGCATCTAAAGAGTCCTTTTCTGGTGTTGGGTCCTGAAGAGATGATGTTGATCTTTCCATGGCAATGTGCTCTTGGATGAGTGCTGCCTCTGACAGTTTCTCAGAACCTAGAGCAGGGGTTTTCAACCTTTTTTAATAAGTGTACCCCTGGCGGCCAGATGCGGAGGGGAGGGGGAAGGGGTGGCGTGTAGCTGGATGCGGAGCTGGGGAGACGGGGATGGCCACATGCAGAGCACTGACAGCGTGGGGTGGTCTGTAGTGCTGGCAGTTGCCATGTGCAAGCTCCCTCCCCTCAGAGTCCATCCGGCTGGGGGGCGCCTGTGTGGCCTGCAGAGGGGTGCCGCTGCCCTCCCCCGCTGCTCCGTCCCTGTCCCACACGCTCTGTCCCCGCCCACCCGTGCTTACCCCCTAGGGTCTTTCTAAGTACCCCAGGGGTACTTGTACCCCTGATTGACAACCCCTGACCTAAAGAATAAAAAACTTAATTGAGGGTATTGGGTAGCCTGGGCAGGAGGCAGTAGAGCAGGGGTAGGCAACCCCTAGCACGTGCCAGAGTGTGGCATATAAAGGTCTTTTGCTTAGCACGCACACCTCAGGGAAGGGGCCAGCGCTGCACTGCCACAAATAGGATCGGACCTTGCACAGTTCCCCTATCATCCGCCCGTGGCATGCCAACATTTTACAAGTCAAGGTTGCAGGTGTTTTTGGCACTCTGGGCAAAAACATTGCCAACCCCCACAGTAGTCTCACTTGAAAAGTGATTACAGAATAACTCTACAGAAGTCAGGGTCTGATCTGGAAGGCAGCTACAAGGAACAGTGGAAGATGAGCACATGAACAGAAGTCCAGATAGCAACCCTACAAATCTCAGAATAAGAATACTGATGAACAATCTGCCCTCCCTCCTAAAGAGAACAAGACTTTTAGAGGACAAAGACCAAAATGACCACATGGTCTCTACTAGGTGGATAATTTTAGCAATCCTGAAATCAGCTAGGTGACTCCTAAAGGGCACTGTAATTAACCCTGTAATCTATGAGTTTTGGATCACTCTAAAGATCTACCAAAACAACTACTTATGACCCCAAATAGACAGATAGGATGTCAAAAAAGGATTAAACTGAAAATCTAACAGGTTGCTGATGTGCAATGGGACAAAATTATTTAGGCTTACTTATGAAATCTAAAAAGTAGTATATTTGAGCAGTTTCCTGCAAAAGGTCAGAAAGAAGCTCTGTCTCAAGTCAAGAGGTGGATGAAAGGAACTTTGGTGTGGTAGGAACATTGGATCTGTAAATGCTAAAAGCAAACATATGAATAATACACACCTCTCACTGTTTCAATCGATGCTGGACTTTCAGTTGATGGCACTGGTGATCCTTTTTTTTTTCTTTGTCTTGCAAGATCTTCTGATTTTTTTTTGATAATCTGTTGTTTTCTTGTTACTTCCTTTTTTGAATCTGTAGAGCCAGTGGTCTTCTTTTGCTTGACTGTTTTGCTTTGTCCATTTTCATGTTCTTTCTAGAGGTAAAAAAATCTATATAAGGATTTCATTTCAACATACTGGGCGCGTCTACGTGTGCAGCAGACTGAGCAGTTGTTACCATGCAGTCATTTAGTATTTGCTTAACCAACATTACTGTGCAGTCCCAATACTACACTGCTATTTTTAGCAACTGCTGCACAGTGGCAACGAGCTACAGAGACGTAGCATCTCGTGTAGACGCATCCACTGGGAGCATGCACACATGAGCTTTACTGTGAAGTTGACTAATTAGCTCTGCAGTAAAGTGTCAGAGTCTACAAATGCGCCGGTACTAGGGCATAGTAAATTCATTCACTCCACCATAAGATAGTACTGTTGGGGACGGAGGCTGGGGCACAAGGGTGCTAAAGTGCCTAGCCACATGGCTGCACACTCTCAGCACTCTTGTGCCCCAGCCAGGCCCTCCACAACCCAACACTACCACCTTGACACTTTGTGCCCCTGCCAGTCAGAAGGCGCTCCGCCCTGGCTCAAAGTACTGCTGTCCCAGGCACATGTGTTGATGCTGTATCCTGGAGCAGTGAACTCCGGTTCAAACTGTTTTGGAGTTTATTGTGTCACTTACTGAATACCTATGCATACTGATAGGTGTTATAAATTTATAACACAATACAACTATGCAGGCAGATATTGTGGGCCCTAATCTGCAGGCCTGTGCCTTCTTTCTGCTTACTAAGGGGGCCCTAATCTGAAGGCTCAGTACCTTCTTTCTGGTTACTAAGGGGAAGTGTAAACCAAGGCTGCTTACAAGCATGGGGGAAAAAAATCCAGAACACAGCGCTTTACTTTCAACTCAGAGCACCCCCACGCCAAGTGCAATGTGTACCCGAAGAGAAATTGTGTCAGTTTGACCCAGCCCGCCCAGCATCTGTATAGCTCATACACTTCAGCAGGGCTTTTTGGTGCTTTTAGCTAATAGCTGATTGACTGAATTGCCAAAAAGCCCTGCTGAATTGTGTAAGCTATACAGGGAGCCAGGTCAAGCTGGCAGGATTCCTCTTTCAGTAAAGTGTTGGCTTTTGGTTTTTCCCATGTTTGTCAGCACCTCAAAAGTCTGTTGAAGTGAGATAGTGAAGAAAAGGTAGGGCATGATTTTGAGAGCAGCTGAGAACCCACAATTCTATCTGTTGTCTAAGGAAAGCATGAAGGCTTCCAAAAAGTCATCTCAGAGAAACTAAGTTAGGCAACTCAGCATTTGGAACATCTTTAAAATCAGAGGTTTTTTTTTTTTAATTCAGGGAACCAAGCCTTAAGGGGAAGCTGCAGAAATGGGTCTTTAGGAGAACAATATTGCAGTTTACCTGCATTTTTAGTTTAACAGGGTACTCTAAAGCTTCCTCTTCACTCTCTGACTCTGAATTTGAGAGATCTTTGTAACTTTTTTTGGATAATGCTGCTCTTCGAGGCCTTTCTGGTTTGACCGTTTGTTTTCTATTCTCATCAGTCTTTGTGCTTGTTTTTTTACAAGCAGGTACCTTCGGAAAAAAATAAAAGCTTCAACTTTACAATAACGTGCAACTACAAGACGTATGGGTAGGGTAGCAAGGTAAAACACTTTACATACTAGGAACAAAGCACTGAAAAATAAAATGATTGGAAAGTAAAAATATCTTTGCTGCATGACAAAGATAAATTACATTATTTGTAATGTGGTTCAACTGACTTTAGCATACTAAGACCTGGGATGAATACAGCAAGTAATATTTAATGTTAGTCTAACCCTGGCTCAGACAAAACTTGGCAGGTTAATAAGCCAACAGTTAATTCCAATGATTAAAGACTGTTTTCCTCATCCTCCTGGTGAGAGGACTAGCTTATATTCACAATTTTGTACAAGCTAAAAATAGTGCAGATTTCCAATGAAATAGATGAAAATGCACGCAGTGGTAAGTGAAGGTTAACAGACTTCTGGTAGGTGTTTTGAGAAATATAAAAGAAGAGACTAGAAAAGCAGCAGAAGTCTCCAGTGTATTGCAACTCTTAGCTAGTGCTATCAGGGAGTAAGACCTACCATATCCGACACTTTAATTGGTTCTACTGGTAAAACAGTTTAAACCACATTTAGAGACTAATTTTGAAATAACTTTGTAGAAGCTTCAGCAAATTAATAGAGATAATTAAAAAATATTTAGCCCAGTTAAGAAGTACGTAATGAAACACATATTTCAATGTGTATTAATTCAAGTTGCATTTTTACCTTTTTGTTCTTTGTTTTTTCCTCTTTAGAGATATCCATCAGATCTGCAGCTTCAGGGACTACTTCTGCTGTTAAAACAACAAAGTTGAAAAAAACTACCATAATATCTGCAATTCTAACCAACTACATTAGTTTGAAGAAGGTATCATATTCATCTACTGATTTACTGAATCCATAAATTGTCTACAGCTTATTTTGATAGTAATAAGATTTTTCTAAAGTTTTTTTTTTCTGGTCCAAATTAAGCACTTTTCAAAAATCAGTTTCATAAAGGCATAGGCCTAGCAAATGTGAAATGTTTTGGAAGTTAAGAGAAGAACACGATATATACTGAAATATAATGTACATTATCTATGGCAAATATAATTAAAATGTTGCAAATTCATTATAATGCAAGGTCATTCTGCAAACCTGTACATCAAATAGTTTCTTACTTGTTTCTACCCTTTTTGGTTTCTTTAGGTTCTGATTTCTGCTATAGTCTGTTAGCTGAGGTTTATGCTTTCTACTGGACTCCTGTAGCCAACTAATGTCTGTCTTGCTGTCATCACCTCTGTATTCTGTGTCTGTGTCACTGAACAGATGCTTCTTGTTTTGATTATTTCTAGCCTATGATAAAGAAGTGTTTAGAAGTAATTTGTGTCTTTTATTTGTAATATAATTCTTACTTAAATAATATTGGTACCTTTGAAAGGGGGGAAATAGGCAATCTGAGCTAAAAAGCCTAAGTCTTAGAGTTTTCAGAATCCTTTGTATTTACGGTTATTTAAAATGTTAATTTTTGGTCTCTGCAATCAATTTTCCTGGAGTTTAAAGAACTTACTTTTTTTCCTTCTTTTTTTTCAGTGACAGTTCTTTTTTCATCAGGATTCCTAAAAGAGAATTAAAGTTGAAAATACCTGACTAGACTGTTTACACCTTACTACTTATGGTATATAAGCGTGTGGGAGGGGAATCAATGCACACATTCCAGATATGATAATTCTGGCAAGTCTAGAGACCTCCTTCTCCTTTACAGCTAATATACTAGCTTCCAAGTTTTAAGCAATAAGGGACACCCAATAAATAGTCTGTTTTCTTGGGGAGTGATCACAATTAATGAGAGGGCAGTACAAAACAGCCATTAGGCTGCCTCCCAATAGAGTGTCTTATAAGGAAAAAACAAAGCAATCTTCATAAAGAAAAACAACATGCACTAACCTAGATAACCTGATTAAAACAGAAAAGCTATAGGCAAATTTGCCAAAAGAAAAGGAGTAAAACCAACATGTAGCCTAGAAAGCATTAGACCTGTTTTACCTACTGAAGAAGAAAAAAGAAATGATGAAGTTATTCATCAGCGATCTGGATGAAGGGGTGGAAAGTAACCTGTTTAAATTCGCTGATGACACCAAAATCTGGGGGGAGGTGAGCACGCTAGCAGGGAGCGAGAGATTGCAGAGGGATCTGGATAGGTTACAGGGGTGGGCTAACAGGAACAGGATGCGTTTTAACACGGACAAGTGCAGGGTGCTGCACTTGGGCAGTAGGAACCAGCAGCACACTTATACAATGGGGAACTCCTTACTCGAGAGCACGGAGGCAGAAAGGGATCTTGGAGTCATTATTGACTCCAAGATGAACATGGGCCGACAATGCGAGGTCATGGTTGGCAGGGCTAACCGGACCTTGTCGTGCATCCACAGGTGCATCTCGAGTAGAGCCAAGGAGGTGATCCTCCCCCTCTACGCGACGCTGGTCAGGCCACAGCTGGAGTATTGTGTCCAGTTCTGTGCGCCCCATTTCAAGAGGGATGTGGACAACATGGAGAGGGTCCAGAGGAGGGCCACCCGCATGATCCAGGGACAACAGGGCAGACCCTACAGTGAGAGACTGCGGGACCTGAACCTATTCAGCCTCCACAAGAGAAGGCTGAGGGGGGACCTGGTGACTGTCTATAGACTCACTAGGGGGGACCAGAAGGGTTTGGGGGAGACGCTGTTTCCCCTAGCGCCCGCTGGCATAACAAGGAGTAATGGGCACAAGTTGATGGAGAGGAGGTATAGATTGGACATCCGCAAAAACTACTTCACAGTTAGGGCGGCTAGGAGCTGGAACCAACTTCCAAGGGAAGTGGTGCTGGCCCCTACCCTGGGGGTCTTTAAGAAGAGGCTGGATGCCCACCTAGCTGGACTCGTTTGAGTCCCATTTCTCTTTTTGGGGTTTTTGTTGTTCTCCCGCCCTGGCGGGGGGTCGGGCTAGAAGATCTACTAGGTCCCTTCCGACCCTTAATCTATGAATCTATGAATCTATGAATTTACTGGGGAAGCAAAACTACAAGATGGTTTTCCTCACCATATCTGGAGGACTTGAATATGCCATGTGGACTTGCATAGAGGAAGGCTGATGAAAGCAAATTAAAATATTCATTATGAGCATCTCTAAGAGAGAGTGGTCATAAAGAATATTTGCATATTATTTTCCTCTATTGCATTTCCCAGACATGAAAAACAATGTAATACGCTTACAGTTTTTTTGTTGGGTTTGTACTAGCTTTCAGTTTGGTGACATGTACTTCTTGGATCTAAAAAGGTAAAACAAACAAATGAGAAAAAATACCAGTGTATATTCGTATTTTATACATTAGTAATTCAGACAAAGAACAAGTATATGCCTTTTTATCCAGACATTGTAGCTTTCAATTAAGTTAAAATAGTTAATTTTATACCTTAGAAATTTTCAAATCATTGCCTCAGATTTTCAAAGGTATTTATTTGCATCAGGACATATACTCAGGCATACTTGAAAATCTTCCATTTACATCTTTAGCTGTCTAAACATCCTTAAAAATCAGGTGCTTTGGAATGCAAGTCGCACAGATTTTCAAAACATCTAAAATCCCTTTAGAAACTGTGGTTTGGCTTCCAAAATCACTTAGGTACTCGTGAAAACTTTACTGTATATCTATTACATTCTAGAATTTAGTTTTACAATTATAAAATCAAAATAAAAAATTTGTTTTGTTAAACAGAACAATGCACTAACAAGAGCAGCTGTCTCAACCACATTTTTAACAGGAAACTTATCTTTTTCTTTCTTTTTTTAGTTGACTAATTGGAACAAGAAGGTTCTGTTATACAATCCTTTAAATAAGATCTTTATTTGTTTTAAAATTATTTAAAAATGATTCTTCTAGTAATTTTTATAATGGCAGATCAACAGAAGATCCCACTGAGTATCCAGGGGTCAATAAAACCCACAAAAAACCCCCCAGGGCAGTGCACTTTTGCAGTGCGGAGAACACCTGACTGTGCAGTATGTGGCGCTGCACACATGTTTGCGGCACTACATACTACATGGCCATGCTCATCTGGATGCATCCAAAGAGTTTATCTTATTCTGGGCCATGTTGTAATTTTCAAATAGAAATACGATTTTCTATTAACAGAGTTCCTTTGTATTCTGTTCCTTTAATCCTAATTATAGTTGTAATCTTACTCCAAGCTTTATTGTAGGTTCATCAAATCCACTTGTGTTGAAATTGTAGACATCATCCCTGTTACAAGATTTAAAAAACAACAACCTTTGGTGAATTGATGAATATTCAAAGCTAGATAACTGACATTTCCAAACAGAAGTACTAAATACTTACACATATCCTGCATTTATATTAAGAGTAGTAGCAGTTTTCAGGTTTCTATAACTTCTATTCTGAACTATTTCCTATGAAGAAAATAGGAGTTATGTGGAGCTTATTTAGTCATCAGTAAAAAGCATGTTCTTCAGTATAAACATGGGCAATAAATCAGTTAACTAAGGGTATGACAAATGTAACATTTGTATTGCTATATTAGACCTTTCTAGCAATACAGAAGGCAAGTGAACAGATGTGCATGCCCCCTATAGCACTACTGGATGAAATAGCAACTTCTCTATGGAACTAAATGTGGATAGCGAACTGTAATGCAAGGGGGGCAGAAAGAGTGTCTTTGGATTCACCCATAGTGCCCTGCTTCTCACCCTTCACTTTTAAGGGGAAGGAAGGAGGAGCGGGGTGGACAGATGATGAGCACTGTGCTTGGGCACTCAACCATCAGAGTTTGAGAGGACAGGTCTCCAACAGGCTCTCTGCCTCTAGCCTCCTGATTCTACCAGAGGGCTGTAGAGCAGATCTGGAGCCCCAGCGACACCAGGAGCTTCTTGTCAACCCTGCAGGACTATGGGATATTTCAAGTATTAAAAGTGCAATGAAAAACAAGATGTTGTTCTACTTGAGTACAATGTATCAATTTTTCAGATGAAATTTTCAGGTACTTCAACAAAATATAAACATACCTTATTGGCACTGAATCCGGACTTATGTAATGATCTAAAAAAAATCATAAAATGTATTGCAAAAACATATTCAGTATACCACTAACATAAAAGAACGACTTGGTAGCATGAAGAAATATTTGTTAATAAAGTGTGGTATGGTTATTAATATTTGCTAAAATAGAATCAGAGTTAACATGTGGCCAGGTTAGCATGTGTAACATAACAAAAATATACTTTAAAATTTCAGCACTTTATAAAACGGATTTTGCAAACAAACTGCACAAGTATAAATCAATTCCAATCCATCTCAATTTTTTTCAGGATTATTCCATATTATTCAGCAAGGCAGAAAGGTTCCATTTTCAAAGTTTTCTAAGCAACGTCCAAGCATATGTAGTAAAATTTTCAGAAGTGCACAACAGCTATATTTGGATATCTAAAAGGTACAGTGTAGGGCCAGCTGGGATTTTCAGGTGCACCTAGGAGCATGACAATAAGATAGCTATATCCTTGTATCAATCATTCACAAAACATGACAGACATGGCTGATCACCCAGGTATTATGACAGCTGAATCATTTTAACTTTACCTAGTTATTTTTTCCAGCCAGCTAACATCAAAATTATAGAAAAGAGAAAAAAACATAAACAAAAATATTAACAGCAATAAAACTGGGTAAGATAGCATCAGCTAAGAGAATACGGAGGTTGTTCTGTCTCACTGCCACAAATGGTAAAAAGGAAATAAGTAGCTATTAGGGATGGTCTACACTTATGACCTCAGGAGGGGGAGCACAAGAATGTGCAAGAAGTGTATGCAGCTCTAATGATCACAGCTGGTTTTTGATCTTTTGTGTAAGAGGAATATGTGCAGCAAGTATGGAATCCACATGTATGTTTGTCTGAAGAAGATTCACTGGTCATATTTTCTGATCCCACCAAATTCCCTTTAATGTGGACGGAGCTTCTAGTATTTTCTATTTTTGCATGGCAGAACTGAATCAATATCGATTAGCACAGGACACAAAGGGAACCACCCGAAAACTTAGGAGTAAGTCATAACTAAGACATACACAAAGCGAAGCAAGAAATGGGGTTTCTTGTGATGATCTCTTTTATTGGAACAACTGCATAGTTGGGATAGAGTTAGACAAGCTTTCAAATGCAAGACTTTCTTCAATGATGATGTCTTGCATTCAAAAGCTTGTCTAACTATGCAGTTGGTCCAATAAAATAAATCACTCTAAGAAATCCTTGCCTCTCACATAATTTTGAACCATCACAGCTGACATCACTCTTACACTACAAAAAGAAAACATCATACCTGTTGTTACCTAAAGATTCTGTTACTTTTCTTGCACATTTGCTGTCATTCCTTTTTTTGTATCTGTCACTAATTTTATTTATTAGTGATTCTGCTGCTTCAGCCATTTCTTTGGATTTTGCTTTCTATAACAAAAAAAATTATTTATAACATTTTAACTTTGCCCAGACGCCTGCTTCACAGAAAGGCCAAGCTGCAGTTGTGGTATGGGACTTTATTCAGATAGCCCAGACTCCTAAAGATCCCAGAAATTCACTAAGTTTGAAGGTATTTTTTTCCATTAGGTATGTTCAACAGGTATGTTACTTGGGCAATGTAAGAAAATTTCTAAAGGAAATTCTCAAAGAAATTTTCCAACTACAGCTTTTCATACACGAGGTATGAATCTTAACACCTTTATCAGTAGGACAGATAACAGTAATTAGTACTTGCTTACTAGTGTTTGCAGGATATGACCCTCAGTTATTTTATATTAATTTTTATTAACCAAAAAAGACCTAAAACTCACATTAAGGGCAAGATTTTAAATCCTTTCACTTGGCCAAATTTTGATCCCATTTCTAAATATTTCAGAAAGAAATTTGTTTTAAATGTCATATTATGGTATAAGGTAACATTTACAAGTGCACTAAGATCCAAGCATATACATACAAATGAATAAGATTTGAGAACATGCAAACCCCTTTATTATTCTGCATGATTACAAGCTGAGTGGTGAGCAAATCAGTAGAATTAAAATATGCCATAAAGGAAATACTGACATATTGAAAATGTAACACAGAAAGGAAACTAAAACTTCCCTGTCTCCAAGGCAGACGAACCAAGATAAAACTCTTACCTTCTCAGAACTTTTGCAATTTGTAGTCCCTTTTTTACCTTTGTACTCCATTAAATCAACATTCATCAAAGATTTTTCAGCCCTTCTTGCTGGATGAATTGATTTAAAAGGTGTTATTTCAGGTATACTGCGAGTATCTGTTGCTGCTGTACATAGTATTTTCTGTTCCAAATGCTTAGGGGTGGTTAGCGATTGCTCAGTTTGCATTCTGCAGTATTCCTCTTTCATTTTATTAGCTTCACTTTTTTGCTTCTTTTCTATATTTCTACTCTGACATTTTGGAGATGTACTTTCAAAAATTGAACAGAAAGCTCTTTGTTTGGAAACTCTTTCACTAAGAATAGAAACTAATGCAAATAAAAAAGAAAGTTAACAACACGTGGGAAAAATTGAGTACAAGAAATAATTTGCCATTAATAAATATTTATCAAGCTTCACCTTGATGGGATGCATGTCCTGCTGATGTATTTGTTTTCTGTTTGTCACAGCTTGTTATAATTGCCTCAGGCACAGAACATGCCCTTTTTTTCCAGGTTTTATTTTCATCGGAAGAAATTTCCAAAATACCAGGCAATCTACAAAAATAATTCTATTGTATTAAAACTGAAATACAGAAATTGGGTATTTATAAGTAACTATAATAAACATGTGTCAGAAAAATATTTTCTAAATAATAACACTACTAATTAATATGTAAATTTTATAACAAAATGGAATTTATCATTACATAACAAGGAAGATACAGTAAAATGGAAAATCATCACATTAAACTAAAAATTAAATATAGCAACAGTCTATTTTATTTCAATTTTAAAAATTCAAAGACTATGATTAGACTTGGTTGTGGCTGAGTCTTGATGCATTCTTATGAGAATCAAAGACAGGGGACATTTTTACTATTATTTGCTACAGGGATAACTAATACTAATAAAGAACACATGAACGATGTGTTCTTTAATTGAAATTACTAGATCTTGCTAAAAATTCCTGACTTGTTAGCTCATTGCTTTTCATGACTATTAAAACACAGACGATTTAATTGGTAAACATGTTTTTAAAATCCAGTCTGGAAATGGTTTGGTTGAACGACTGTTTCTAGAAGTTGAATTGTAGGAATAAAAGAAACCCCAAAAGTGTAATAAATGGCACAGCCTTTAGCCAATAGTTCCAAAATACTGCTAAATAGTTTAGGAAGAACTAGATATCTAAATTTTATGTAATTCACTACAAGCACTTGTCAAATCACAACACAGGAATCTAATCAGTATATTTATGGATGTACTTACAGGTAATGTTCTTAAAACTAGTCATTACATAATAGATGCATTAACAGTTGTCATGTCATACTTACAGAGGCTTATAATTTCTCTCTAGTGGTTGGGAATCAGGAACAATATCTAATAGTTCATCTAAATAAAACATGAATTTAGTATTAAAAATTGATTTTGCCACTTTCATAACAATATGAACATAGAATAGTTTAAAAACAGTACTGTCAAAATTTGCCAAAGTACTCACTTAACATTCGTTTTTGGCCAGTCTTACCGTCTGCCTCATTTTGCATCAGTTCCAAAACTTCTTCAGCTGACATTTGCTATAGACAAAGTAAGAAATTACAAAAATATATTGGCATGGAAAAATATGTTTTGTTCCTTATTAAAAAAAATTATTTTCAAATAAAATATAAATCTTTTCATTTTATGTTTTAAAAAGGTTTTCAAATCATCTTGCCTCATTTCTTATTCCTGACTTGCAATTAATTTGTGTTTCACAAAATGCATTGTCCAGTACACCACCCTGTCTCCCCTAAACTTATTGAATTGTGTCTTTTAAGTAAAAAAAGTAAGTTTTACAGATAATTAACTAGTCTTGATAAATCTGTATTATGTCTTAAGAGTCACAAACTTCTTAGGTGCAGCTGTACCTGGAAAAATGTTTTGGAATCCTACAATACCATTTCAATGTATTCTTCTCATTTTACATCTTAATAGTAGTAAAGATTCTTCAAGGAAATGTGTATACCTGTGGAATCCACTGTATTGAGATTAATTATCCAGTGACACCTGTATGTCTTCAGTGAAGGCCTGATTCCAAAATCAATTAAGTCAACAAGAGTGCTTAAAAGGACTTTTGAACTGGCCTTGGATTTGCAAAGTTAAGTCTAGATGACAATATTATTTTTTAAACATATTTTGCAGTGTGATTTAAAAAAAAATTGAGAAATTAAATGTCTGATTTTGAAAACAGTTGGATAAATAACAACAAAAATATTTAAAAAAAAATAAATGGGCTAAATAAAACAGGCATGTTTATAAAAACAGGATTTCTATGAAGCTGATCATACATCTCTTTTGATGTACCCACATATTTATGTTTAAAGTGCTTACAACATTGGAACGCTTGTAAATAAGTTGTCTAACAACTTCTTTATAAAAATTGTTTGGTGTTGTATTTTGATGGCAATCCTGAGATAAAGGACAGGAATATTTAGTATTCCTTTGAATATGCATACTAAAATGTAATCTTTTCAATGATGTTTATAAATGTCAGCAATATTTTAGTAATTTACAGGTATCCTTTTGGTGCAAGAAAGCTAAAGAAAGCTAGGTCACTACCAATGTGCCGTACTGGGGTTTGAGAATGGAATGAATAAAACACAAAAACATCGTCCAGGAGACATGATTAGATTTAGTCAATCCCATGGAACGAGTGAGTCTAAAGTTTATAGGAATCCTCAATTTTAGCTGGATGAAATGTAATCTGTAACGCAAAATGAGGCAGCAAAATGATTTAGAAAGAAAGTAATATGGACCTGCAAAGCTAGATTTGTATCCATATCAACACTGGTATGGACTAAACGATGTTATGAAAATAATCCAAAATTCTTTTCTATATAGTGAAGAACTGATTATGCACATATTTCTAAAATAGATTTTAGCAAGATCATAAAAATATAGGTTAGTTACTTTTTCTGCAGAATTATTCCTTTTAAGAGATTCAGACACAGAAGACATACATGCTCCAGTAGGCTCTAGATTTAAATTCTTTATTCCACCCTCAGTTAAAGAGTTATTATTAGTTCTTTCAGAAGAACACATCATTTGCAAAGGTAGTTTAAATCGACCCTTTCGCGGAGTTGCTGTAAACAAACCAGAGGTTTGTTAGAATGATCTTTATCTATTAACATGATTGTGCCATCCACTGCATTAGTATAGCTAGAGGGTGCTGCATAACACCTCTCCTTTATAAAGTTTTAAACAAGTCACCTAACTCCAGTAACAAACAAGCATTTATTTCAAACTATTTCACTGATTTTAATGATGTTACAATGGAGAATAAGAAACAACAGGAGATTCTGTACACTACATAAGGCATGGTTTCTTTGTGAAAAAGTAGTACATGAACATTAAATTAATGATTATGCCATAATGCTTATGCACAGGAAAGAATCATAGAAGATCAGGGTTGGAAGGGACCTCAGGAGGTCATCTAGTCCAAGCCCTTGCTCAAAGCAGTACCATCTCCAAGTTATCTGATCCCAGCCAAGGTTTTGTCTAGCCAGGTCTTAAAAAAAAAAAGAAGAGAATCATTTAAAGAATCCAGTTGTAGCTTTAGTTTTAGAATCTCTTCTTGTGACAGTTCTCAACTTTCAAAAATACTCTTTTAAAAAACTTTTTATATGTAGCAGTTAGGATATTTGTGCTTTGGAGAGAGTTTCATCTATCACCACTGAGCTCTTACTGGCTTTTCTTCTACAGGTCTCTCAAGTAAAAAGGAGAAAGACCAAGCAGCGCCAGCTGTTGTAGTGGATTGCCAGGAGGCATGTGAACTCTACCAGGGGCCAACTAAGAATTATTTGTGGAAGATTCTTTCATACCTCCTGCCCTACTAATTTATTTTTTTGAAGCCAAAACCAGAAGCACTGGCCTGCCTCCCAGTTCCCAGGAGGGCTGAGCTCCTTGCATCACTATCTAGGAGGACAGTCAGATCATTCCAAAAGAAACTCATGGCCAAGCTGGTAGACAAGAAGTGAGGTTAATTAAGCACCTCTCAAAGCTGGTGATGGACCATGTCAATCAGACAAGAGTGAAAACATGATTAACAACTGTACAAATGGAGAAAAGCAAGTTTCACCAGGAACACTGCTGAGGGCACTGAGCATGCTGATTATTATGTGGTTAAGCAAATGCTTTTTAGGTACATTTGAGATTCCTCAAAATAATATGCATTTCAGAGAAGGTGAAAAAGATTCTTGGAATTTTTACATCAGTATCTCTAAAGGTCCTTGAGCGGTCAAGTTTGAGAGGGTTTAAGAAATTAAACATCTGATAAAGAGCTACCACAAGTAACATTTTCTTCTCAATTCCAGTTCCGTGATAGCTTTTGTCTGATTGTAAGAGCATAAGAAAAGTTTGGCATAAAAAATATCAAAACTATACATACTGCCCCAAATAAAGCAGTCTAAATAAATTATTTTTAAAAATCAATTAATATTTTGAACCTTGAAAATAAGCATGAACTTACAGGTACTGACAAATACCAATGGGCTCCTATCAGGCAAGCTACCAGTTCTTGGGATAACCACTGTTGCTTCGGACACTTTTCTCTTACTAGGTGTGATGATCTTGACATGCATAAAAAACCACAATTCATTAGCACACTTTAAGACACAAATATATTTAACACACACACACAATTTAACATGTATGTGATTGCTGAAAAATCAGTTTTTTTAAATATCAAGCCCTATATCCTGGTTCTTCATGCTAATAGCAATGTAACAGGTGTATTTCCTACACTTTACTTTACACACAGGAGTTGTAATGTGGCATGCTAATTACAAAGTCATTAAAACTAGATCATAATTTGATAAAGTAATCTAATAAGGGCCAAATATTCTTCTCTGTCTACTCCAATAACTGGGATAAGCTACAAAGAATTGTACAGGGATAAAACTACATCCAGTTAAGTTTTGAAGTAGACACCTGAAATTCACTACACCTGAAATACTGAGGCTAAAAATCAACTGTGTAATTCAACAGATTTGTGTAAACAAAAGTTCTCCAATCCTTTGCTCCTCTCATGGCTCTTCTAAGAGTATCATTTATGCATAAGAAGATCCACATGAAGCTGTCATCTGAACATGCACGGGATATAGACCTTCTTTACAAATGTCTCAGATCCCCATCCTTAGCTGTACTCTGTGTGTGGGTGTGCATTTGCACACATGAAACACCTGCCTTTAATAAGAAATGTTAATAATGAAGCTCATTAACTGCTCAAAAAGGGTTAAAAGAAACACTACAACTTCACTGATCACAATATATACAAGCATAAATAAAATATTCTGAAGTCACCTCTCAAAGTTGCACTGGCCTCAGAAAACAAGAATTCAAAAAAACAAGTTACATAACTTAGGGACAACTAGCATCAGAACCATAACTGGTACAAGAACACTCACTGCAGTATAACTACAATGAAATGAATTCCCTACTATAAAGCACAATCAAGTATTACATTTTACTTCTATTTTTGATGTACTGTTTTTAGTTATGATAAGCTGAATTACCTTGGATCGAATATGTTCGCAGTTGTCTTGCTTAGTATTTTTATTCATATTTTTCTGTGCGTCATAAAGTTGCTGCTTTATGGACTTATTGGATTTATTTTCTATTTCTGACTTTCCTTTTATGCAAGGTGACAACTGACTTTCTGGTACAAGAACCTATTCAGTATTTTGGGAAAAATAATATCTTATGTAAGTTTAATGTGCATTATCTTAAAATACAGTATTAGAAAATAAGAGTCACTGATCACAGTGGTGACTCTCTTGATTTTAATTAGTTTTTCAAATGCATGAAGCATGTGGTTTGCTGGGAAAAGGGTGTGTTTAATTAATTTAAATGCAACACTAAACATCTACATCATTCTTTACACAAAATGTAGTTGATTGTACAATAAATCTATACGTTCTTACAATGCTCATCTGTCCACTTGCAATGTGAGTATGTAGAAATTGGTACATGCAGTTGGATGGAAAAAATACAAGAAGGATGTGATCTTTGGACTACATTTTCCTCCTAATTTTTTCAAAATTTTCTAGTAGTGGTATAGATTTACTGGTAGTAGAGTAGCTGAGATGTTTTCGTAAACAAGGCATTAGTGCTTGCCGGTACATTAACCACCATATTTATTTTGACCAGCTATTAAAAAGTAAGGCAACACAGTGCCTAAAATTCCTGCAACCCACTGGAGCCTTGCCTATCTACTTCATAGTGCAGTCACTAATGGGGAATTCAGTAGAGGGGGTAAAACTGATGGCTCCTATTCAGAGAAGCACTTTACAGGAAAGAAAAGGCAAAGAAGCACTTAAACAGGAAAGCAACTATATACCATCTGAAATAATGAAGATGCTTTCCAGGACCATGGCCAGTGTTATTAAAGACAGTGAATTTCAGTGCCCTAGCAGCCCTAGATTTTGTTTGAAAAACTTCCTGATTTACATACGGGTGTACCTTTCTGAAAAAAAAGACTTCTTTCAAATGTGTTTGCATGTATATGTTAGTTATGGGATTTTAGTTCTGTAAACAGGAGAAATATTTTATCTTCAATGATTTACTAATTGTCTTAAGAGATGTTTTCTTCTTGTGATACTTTATCACAAACAAATGGAGTAAAAGACCAGAAGCAGTATAAGCCATAGGAAAATGTCAACCTATCGGGGGAAAAAATCATTTAAAATAACTTGGTGTTTGGTTCCTCAGTGACTATAGCAGCTGGCTGTCGCATCTTCCAATTCTGTAGCATCTCCTAAAAAGCATCATTTGATAATCTGCCCGATCAAAATAATTTCCATATCCTAACTGAAAAATGTACCTGTGATCCACTTTCATCAAAAATGATGTGCACTGATGTTTTGGCAACCGATATAGCTTGCTTCCTAGTAAACCCCTACAAAATAGAAAGAATTCCCAATTTAAAATATATGCTTGCTCATCTCTCAGTTCTTCTACATAAAATGCAAACAAATATTTATTGCATAATCCCCAACCACAGAGTACAGGAAATTCCATGCAGAAGAAAGGAAAGGTTGCATTATATAAATGTATTTACAATCTTTCCATTTGTCCCTGGCTCAGGGAAGAGCAGTTTGCTAATCTATATAAGCAGTGGGGAGTAGGCTGTTCAGAAAAAATGTTTTATTTACTGCTCTTTCCTAAGTCCTTTATTGACAAACTGAGTGACATTTATTAGGTCACTTGACAGAAAACAAAGAAGTTGAAAAAGGAAGAGAGTTTAAATCTTACCTTACATTTATTTGCACCATAAACCTTTCTGACCACATCTATGATTTCCAAGACAGGATCAAAATATAATAGGATTTGCCCTCCTTCTTGGTTACAGATGGTCATTGGGTTTTTTAGAATTACTGTTAATAACTTCTTTGATTCTTTTTCTACACAAAAGATGAATCTTTCATTAGGCTTTAAAAACACCTTTTCTATGGTGTTCCAAAGATCAAACTTAACTGAAATGAGACAGTTCTATGACTCCCACTTATTACTGTTTAAACAAAGGTAATCTGATTACATTTGTTTTCATGAAACACTTCAAAATTCAACTTTATGAAAAACCATTTTTCTAGGTATTTCAAATATTCTAATCCACAGGTGGATGAAGAGCCATTGTAAAAGATATTTAGGTTATTTAATGCTTTATATTTGTAATATAAAGGGCTGGGTTCTTCAATGTGTTGTAAATCCTTTAACTGTAGGCTGTGTCCTGCAAAAAGCAAGAACTCTAAAGTCAAGAGGTTCACCACACTGCCAGTGCCATGCCCACAGTTCCTGAGAGGGTGTTACCCAAATCAGTTTGCTTAAAGCACAGTCCCAGCCCTTGACTTGCAGTTATAAGACTCTTAGGCTAAGTACAGTCAAAAAGCCTGAGGCTGAATTGATTCAATCTTTGCAGGTTAGTCAAAGCTGCATAGATTGAACCAATAAACAAGTGAACAGACATCTACTTTTGATTCTGGAAATGCAGCCACATGCCTGCAGTGGCCCAGGCCATGAACTGGGGGGGGGGCGGTGCTAGAGCACACCTCCCTGCTTGGCTGAAGCAGACAGCTTGGGCCAAGGCTAGCTTGCCAACTCTGCAAGAGGGGCAGCAGGGTTTGTGTGGGAAGTACAAAGCATCCTGGGATGCTGGGGGACTGTAAATAACTTGTATCTGGAGGGGTCCTGGGATAAAAGTTCAATAAACTGATTTAAACTAAAAGAAGTGAAATGGAAGGAACAGGTGTAGACAGCTGATCCTCTATGACCTGTGTACCTGGAGTCCTAGAGATACTGAAACATTTATCTGAAGTATCTATTATCAAGGATGTTTAAAGCTGTAGGACACAAGAACACTCATGGCGTATGACAAGCCACAACATACACTGCTGGTCAAGAGACTATCATACAGAGTAGAGGAATAGTAAAAATAAAATTTACACACACACACACACACACACACACACACACACACACACACACACAATTAGGATCACAGGAAAGTAGGGAAGGTAGATGTAAATTGAAACCAAACATATGAAATATTACACATGCATGCACAAATCATTTAAGGGAACATTATAATTAACCAACTGTGGATAATTATCCATAATATAATGCAAATTAAGTATACATAGTGCACTTCTAACTTTAAAAAACTGTGTCCAATTGTGTACAATCCAACATTTAGTTTTGAAATCATTGAATGCAATGGAAAGTTTGCTTTTTTAACAACAGAGTCAAGACCTCCAGATTTTACTAATTCCCAAGATTTCAGAAAACAAATTAACATATAAATACATATAACAATTCACGAATATAAGGATACATTTGTGAGTGTCAATACCTTCAAGGCTGTACATTTCTACATCTTCTTCAGGTATAACAACTGTTTCCCATTGATGATCCTCAAAAAAAACCCCAAAGTATTTTGAGGATAAAAGCTCATATTATACTAGAAGTAAATTTAAATCTCCATTATTATTATCTATAACATGTTGGTATGATTAAAGCTAATATCTTATACACAGAAGTACTCAAAATGCAGCAATTAATTGACCGATTCAAGAAGTGATTAAAATCTAACAACAGCTTGGATAGAATGAGGTACAGAAAGATAAGAGAATAGCGACTTTAAAAGTGTTCAAAATTCTAAAACTAGCACAATCAGTGATTGCTAAGACTCTGTAACAGAGGATAAATGTGCAAACAGATTTCCAGAAGGTATTAAAATGCAGATATTAATTCCCCCTCAATTAAAACACAATGCATTTGAAAACTTTTCTGAGTCTAACCCAACCACACAGTTGGTTCAATACACTATATCACCTACAAAAATCCTTGCCTCACATATTTTCCTGAACCATTGAGGCTATAACAACACTCCAACACTTCTTGAACTCTCTTATATTCAGAAGCTCTAAAATATAAAACTGATCATTTTCTCTATTGTAAATAAAGTATTTGAATGTTAGGAAGCTTGCGGAAGAGCACATGAAATGCCGATTCTGGCTCTAGCAGTGATCAATTTTCCGTTTATCCTTATGTTTAAGAAAAAGCTATATAACACGTATTTCTATTTAACACCTAGTTTAGGATCACTTATATTTGTTCACAGTACACCCATGAAATACATTATAGTGTTGAGAAAACATTAAATTGTCAAACATTAACGTCTGAATTCACCCTTTGAAAAACCAAAATCTTTTCAATGAATTATGATAAACTGAACTTACTTCATCATCTGCTGCTACATAGAAGGATATACTTCTGCTGCCAACATTAAAATCAATCCAAAATTCTTCAAGATTTTCATCCAGTGGTATCTGTAGCTAAAATATATACAAAAAAATTACCTCCAAAGGAATAGCATCTGAACACAGTCTGAACACCAGTAGGTTAACTGTAGCTTACAATTTAAATAAACTTAAATACACATATGCCTAAGACAGCACTACAGATCAATTGTACAAAGGAAATGATCCAGTTAATTTGTAACTTACCTCATGTTTATCAAGGACTGCTGCTAAGCAAGGATATGTAAAAACCCTATAAGAAATTATTTTTAATTAACATTTTTTTGCAAAATTAGTCATATAATTTTGTAGTTAGTTGTTAAGAAGATAAGGTTTGGGCTATTTGTCTCTATCTGTACTATAGATTTGGGTTAGCTGTCTCTATCTGTACCAGTTCTTTCTATCTGCTAGTATTATTGTAGCTCAGAATTACTTTAAAACACCGTCTCTCACCCCATCCTAGTTAAAAAACTAGGCGACTGTGGCATAGATGCCTACACAGTCAGATGGATTGCAGATTGGCTGAAGGGTCGCACTCAGAGGGTGGTGGTGGATGGGTCATACTCGACCTGGGGGGAGGTGGGTAGCGGAGTCCCCCAGGGCTCGGTCCTGGGGCCTGCGCTGTTCAATTTCTTCATCAGCGATCTGGATGATGGGGTGGAAAGTAACCTGTTTAAATTCGCTGATGACACCAAAATTTGGGGGGAGGTGAGCACGCTAGCAGGGAGTGAGAGATTGCAGAGGGATCTGGATAGGTTACAGGGGTGGGCTAACAGGAACAGGATGCGTTTTAATACGGACAAGTGCAGGGTGCTGCACTTGGGCAGTAGGAACCAGCAGCACACTTACACAATGGGGAACTCCCTACTCGAGAGCACGGAGGCAGAAAGAGATCTTGGAGTCATTATTGACTCCAAGATGAACATGGGCCGACAATGCGAGGTCATGGTTGGCAGGGCTAACCGGACCTTGTCGTGCATCCACAGGTGCATCTCGAGTAGAGCCAAGGAGGTGATCCTCCCCCTCTATGCGACGCTGGTCAGGCCACAGCTGGAGTATTGTGTCCAGTTCTGTGCGCCCCATTTCAAGAGGGATGTGGACAACATGGAGAGGGTCCAGAGGAGGGCCACCCGCATGATCCGGGGACAACAGGGCAGACCCTACAGTGAGAGACTGCGGGACCTGAACCTATTCAGCCTCCACAAGAGAAGGCTGAGGGGGGACCTGGTGACCGTCTATAAACTCACTAGGGGGGACCAGAAGGGTTTGGGGGAGACGCTGTTTCCCCTAGCGCCCGCTGGCATAACAAGGAGTAATGGGCACAAGTTGATGGAGAGGAGGTATAGATTGGACATCCGCAAAAACTACTTCACAGTTAGGGCGGCTAGGAGCTGGAACCAACTTCCAAGGGAAGTGGTGCTGGCCCCTACCCTGGGGGTCTTTAAGAAGAGGCTGGATGCCAACCTGGCTGGACTCATTTGAGTCCCGTTTTTGTTTGGGGTTTTTGTTGTTCTCCCGCCCTGGCGGGGGGTCGGGCTAGAAGATCTACTAGGTCCCTTCCGACCCTAAATCTATGAAACTATGAAACTATAAAAGAAAAAAAAGCAAGAAAAAATGTTAGGACCTAGAGGAGTAACTTTTTCTGAAATGGATTTTCACTTTCACCCAGAAAACTTCTTTCCTGTAGTAACAATACTACTTTACCTTCTTTTATCCCCTAGTATGCCATTCACCTGGTTAAGAAATTTTCTACAGTCCTGTTAAAAAGCAGAGAAAGATTTTAGTAACATCATATCATCAGAAATTTTCTACAGTCCTGTTAAAAAGCAGAGAAAGATTTTAGTAACATCATACTCCTGGAAATAGTATTTGTAAATCACTTACTGTTTCAAATTCGGAGTCCTTAATTCCTTTAAATGCATTGGTCACAAACTCCATAGAAAACCACTGGCGTGCCAGTTCTCCTCTTTGTTTCTCTGATGTCATTCTGCATAAAGCTTCTGTAATGGCTACTTGTAAGTCATAGTCTACAGCATACATTTTATAGGAACAAAATCATTAAAAAGAATGCCAACTTTAAAAATGTATATACATTTCTCAACATTATTTCTGAATTTAAATGTCTTCGAAAAAAATCAAACCTACTCAAATGTAAAAAATTAAAATGTATTTTTACAAGATGTTCTAACATCAATATGAAATCAGAGTGTCCAAACATAGCATTCAGTTGCATTCAGAAAAATAAATATAAAGAGCCTGAGGTGTGCCAGAGGAATACTGTTCACAGAAACTGAAAATGTCAAAGACGGCTTCTATACCAGCTTTCTGCTGCCTGATGCTGGAAGCTGTGGGAACCAAACAAGCTCTTGGGACAAGCTATAGTAGCCTCAAAGCTGCTTTTACTAGTGCTGGCCATCCTCAAAGACTCACTCCCTTCAGATCCTTCACTGTTTTTAAACCTTAGGTTGATCAGGAAGGAATGGCATATAATTGGCTATAATTGCACATTTCATGTAAGTGCATAGCCTTGGAACAAATAAAAGGCTATAATCCTACACTACAAGGAATATGTACTTACTCCAGGGCTGTCCAACTGGCAGCCCATGAAGAGTTAAGTTGCTAACCCAGGCTCCTACCCAGCTGCTGCTCCCCCATCACTTTAGCTGCAACAGCAGCAGGAATGTGGGTGTGCTCCCTGCTCCAGTGGCTGCTTTCTGCTTCCCTCTCAAGAGCAATGAGCAACATAGGGAACTAAGAGAGAGTCCGGAGCTGCATGGTAGGGGGATGGGGAAGGGAACAAGGTTTCTTGTGGGGAACTGCACCCTGTTCAGTGGTAAGGGCACGGGGTGTAGGTTGCAGTGGGAGGTGGGTGGGGGAACTGTGCTTGTGTGCCTGCATAGTTCAGTGGGATCTGGGGATCATGCCTGCATAGTGCAGCAGGGGATGGGGTACCCAATGCAGTGCTGGAAGGGTGTGGTGGTGTCTGTGGGGCTGTACAGTAAAATGGGAAATAGGGGGAGCATCTGCACAGCCCAGTGGCCTGTGGTTTGACTGGTGTAGTCTGTGCTACACGCAGTCTCCACTGGTGCAGCCCCCTGGGGCTTAGAAGTTGGACAGCCCTGACTTACTCAGTGTAAACAATGCTCATTAAATATGGGAACAACCTGTGCTAAATTTTTTGTATGGTGTTTCTCAGAGTGCTTATACCTCTAAAGTCATGACCTAGTCTGGAGCTGTCCAACTTGGAGCAGCTGGGGGCCACACACTTGCAGGGGCTTCTGCAAGCAGTGCCCCTGGTCTGCAAGCACCACAAGTTCCCCCATCATTGCTGCACAAGGCTCCCTACTGCCACTACACAAGGAATGTGAGCCTTCTCCCTCCTCCCTTACCACTGAATGAGACACCCACTCTACCCAGTACTGCCACCATGGTGGCAACCCCTTCTTGCCCTCACTGCCTGAGCACCCCCCACTATAATAGTGGAATACATTAAATGGTATATATCCAAGAAGCAATCCAAATGCTTTAAAGTACTCTGTGCATAGTTATATTGTTTATGTTTTTGTATGTGCTTTACTGATAATGTTATTAATGATGAATATGAATGATGAAAAAACTATTTTTAGCTAAACTGAGTATCATTAGTCTCCTTGTTTTTCAGTTTATTTCCCACTTAAATGGTTTAATATAGAGCCTCAAAGAAAGATTCTGTGCTTACCTCCAGCATCTAAAATTCTCTTTCCCATGTCATTCCTGTAAAATAAATAACAGTCTACATGTTTAAACAAATTAAGATGGCAATGCAGACAGAGAAAGGTTTATTTAACACCAATGACTGTAGTCTGAATATGAAGTGAAACATAATGCTATTTTGATATCAACTTCAAAAGAGCCAGTATTTCATTCACGATACAGCAGTAGTATTTTTGACTCAGACCCATTAGCAATTTGAGAAGTAGGAATTCACAAACCAATGTTCAATAAGCTTCCTTAACAGTACCTGAAAAATGTGCAGATGCTTGTTTTATTGTAAGTCTTGTTAAGGGGAGGGCCATACAAATGAACTCTCAGTTCCCACCCCCATAATTTCTCCATCACAAATGAAGTTACTACATATTCTGTAAGTAGCTGGGCTATATGAAAGAAAGAAGTAAATTGTAATTATTTTTCACAAACTCCACCTTACTTTGTGGCTGATAATTCTATCTGTTTTCTATCAGTTAGCCTGAAATCATCTTTGATTATGCATATCATTGCAAATACTTTCCTGGATGAAGAATCTTTCCTCCAATCAGTGCATTTATATTCTCACCACAGAAACCATTACCAAAAGGTATTATTTTAGGGCAGTAAAATTGTTTTAGGACAATAAGGTAAGATGGAACCTAACTGTGGCTGAGAAACAATATATTGGACAGCATCCAAGGGAAAGAATGATCCTCATGAACTTGGTTATATTGCCATGAGATAACTGTAGGCTGAATAGGGCCCATGTTTATAAAACTAAACTTATGTTCAATAAAATAGCTTGCTGTTAAAATTTTCTCCCCCACTATGTGAATGATGCAATTTGATAAGAATGAAAATAAAAGCTGAATTACATGATAAGCAACATTTCCTTTGTGGAAATGATTTTTTTCCGGGCATCTCGAGGCATGGTGTCAAGCATTACATTAAGTTTTCTTACTGCCTAAAAAGGGAGTAAAGAAAAATATGTTTAAATTTGAACTCCTCTATTAAACTTCTAATACATTTTAATTGTTCTCTGGCTGGCTATGTCAGCAGGCCAGATTGATGTAGCTATTCAACAACATTTATTTATTTTTACTATCAGTGACCCAAAGCAAAATCACAGCAAGAGGGATGTCTGACTTTACTCGCACTAATGTAAATCAGACTAAACTGTAGCTGACTTCAATGAACAGCCTTAACAGACACAGATCTACAGTTTCAGGGTTAAGGTTCTATTTCATAGGTATAATTTATGAAGCAAGATTTCCAAGTGCTAGTATTTGTGCATACAGCGATTGCAGGCACAAAAACATTTACCTGCACATTTTATGGATGCAACAAATGAAGGTAACTATTATCCAAAAAAGGCTGGGTATGAAAATTTAGCCCTTAATATGTCTTTCTTGAAAACATACAAATGGGGGCACAATCTCTAAAGAAAAAAGAAATCCACTTCATCCTTCATAGTTTTATATTCCAACAGTGAAATGATGGCCCTACTAAAGTCCATGAATAATTGCCCAATGTTGACAATGAGGGGAACATTTCATGTAAGTTATTTTATTAACATTAAAGCATATACATTACATAAACATTAAAGCATTATAAAAAACACTGTATAAAAATACAGTTAAGAACCATTAACAAACTTAAAAGATATTTCTTAACCGAATAATCTTATTATTTCATATTCTTTCATATGGTGTTTCTCTCCAGTGCCTTATTTTTATATTACAACTGAAACCAGAAATCATACGAACAAACTGCTATAAATTAAAAAGTTAGTACATACATAATAGCAGCAACGTGCATTCTTAAAGCCAGTAGGAACATTTAATTTTTCAATAGGATTCTTTCCCTGTTCACATCTGTCTATATAATTTACTAGTCATCTTTATACATCTGTTAAACATCTAATTAAAAACTTTAAAAAAAAGGATTACCTCCTGCTGAATATAAAAATTAATTCTTACATCAGCAACAAGGGCACATGTTCTCAATATAAAGCTTTCTAGTATTTGTATTTTACCTAATTAAGAAAAAAATTGAAGTTAAAAATAGTTAACCCAAGGACTGAAAGAATTTTCATGACTGAAATAATTGTCATGCATTACTTCAAGAGCAGTCACAATTATAAGTTTATTATACATCCAGTAAAAGTGTTTTCATTTAAAAATTAAACAATTTGTTACCATTTCATTTTCAAAGTCATATAAAACTTCTCATATTTAATATACAAACATATTACATTTTATATATTCCAGTTAAGATGAAAAACATGGCTCTTTGTATTGTTTATAGTAACCATATAGTAGCTTTGGCTAACATGGAGTTTGCAGGATTAGTATACTCCATCCTGACCTCATATATTGCTCTAGGAATCAAAGGGATTGGTAAAAGGCATGATATCTAAAAACCGCTTTGCAAAGATTTCAAGTTCATATGCCCCCTAAAAAAGGAACTGGGTATTGCTTTTGGTGGCACACAAGCCTATAATGGGATTCCAACCTGGGAAAAACACCTTGGCTTGATGATACTCTTCAAAGACTACATGTGAATGAAGATAAGATGATCTGATTAGGAAGTCAGGGGAGACAGATGGCTAGTCCAAGTGATATCTCATGACGTTGACAATAAAGAAGAAAATAAAAGTTGGGATGGTGTTTTTTACTTTCATCTAAATCAGAAACACCTCCCCCCCAAAAAAATATAAGCCAAATCTATAGGGAAATTTAAGACTACTTAGCCGATTACTGATTGAAAAAAATCTGCTAAAGTAATGGGCAAATTCTGAAATTTCCATTTTATTGCTATAGGTGGTAAGTTAAGGATGGCTGCTGATGCTTTGATTCCTTTTTATTATTTCATTAGGTGCTTGGGTGGGTTGAGTGGCTAGTCAAAAGATTCTGACATCATGTATGCATCATTTGGAAAAGATTCAGAGTGCTTTGATGATTTGGGCAGTCCCCAGTGGCTGCAGCAGGGAGCTGCAGCTGCCCCCAAGCTAGTAAGTACAAGGGGTGGGGGAGG